AGCACCCAGCACAAACCCTGCAGAGAGACTGGGACCCCCTCAGGGGATTGGGAAGCACACAGCTGTGGATGGCAATGTAAAAACCTCAGCTCAGAGGCCTTCCTATGGCAACTGAGCCCCCAGAAGAAGCAACCTCCCACCTGCTCCCCCACCAAAGAGTCTGGCTTGGCTGAGAATTAGCAGTTCCCCAAGCTATCAGGAAATTAACCCAGCCCCACACTAGCTGTAGAAATAAGTACATTTTTATCAGTCCAGCGAGCTGAGCAAGACAGCCAGCTTAGCTGCTGCTTCACATTCTGTTTTTTAATCCCTATTTAGCCCTGCTGTCACTGTGTACCTGCTCTGCTGCAGGGCTTGAGGAGGGAGCCCTGCCCTGCTGGCAGAGCCACCCCTGCTGCAGTGAGTGTCCCTGGGCAGGCACAGCCCCGAGGGCAGCCCACGCCTCTCGGGAAGGAGCATCCCTGCCTCTGGAACACTCCTGGACACGCAGGGCAGGCTTTGGAAGGCAGCCGAGGGCGGAGCTGCCCCGTAGCTCCTCCCAGGCGTGCAGCAGAGCTGTCCCCGCCCGGCTGGAGGCAGAAATCCCGACCCCTGCCGCACCACGAGCCCTGGGACGCCGCCTCCCCGTGGCCCTCGGCATCTCGGAGCAGGGAATGACAGCGGGGTCTCACACACACAGCGGGAGCTGACGGCTCTCTGCTCCTTCATCAGCCCAGCCCTCCTGCCGGGAATTAAATTGAAGCACACAAAGTGCATCTTCTCCGTCGGAAAAAAATAAATAAAGGTGGGGAGGCTTCCTCCCCTTCTTCCATCTGATTACACACAAAATGTTCTTCTGCTTTTAAGGGCAATTTAACACTAGTTAAACTACCATTAATTTAAATCAAACAAGTCTGAAAAGATAGAACATGCTGCACGGCTATTAAAAACAACTGAATCTTCATTTGTTCCACTGAGACACTGCAGCCCATTCCCAAGCCAGTACTATCCAGCTGTCCAAAGACCCCTTGCTGTTGTTTTTAAGCTGGTATTTAAGCCTGCTCTGTTGGCTCTTTAAACACAAATCAGTCCCCTTAGACATCAAAGATTCAAACCTTTCTATCAAAGCAAAGGAAGAAATAGAACATGGGGCCAAACTGATAAATACCAATGAATGTGACATCACATCTGCCCCATTTGCAGGTGATCTTCCAGCACTGAAGGACAGAATAGGCTAAAGAGGAAAAAGGGAAAGCTTTGTTCTGCTGTGTTTCACAGACTTGTCCTCAACAAGATGCCAAGATGCCGCTACCCAGACTTTGCTGGCAGCTCAGCCAAAGGACAGGCCAGGCCAGAAGTGCTCCTGCCCAGCAGCTCTGTCAGCACTGCAGGGCTGGCACTGAGGAGCTGCTGCTTGCCTGCCCTGTGCCACCCTGGCAGCCAAGGCAGCCTTCAGGAGCTGCAGGCAGCACAGCAAGCACAGACAGGGGCACCAGAGCATCCCTGTTTTTATACACTTCCCAAATAACCCACACCAACATGCAGTTTTACACCAGGCCACAGCTTCCATGCCCTGAGCAGAATGCAGAGATTGCATCAGCCAAGATGCAGTTCTCCTGGAACACTGCCACACAAAATAACTGCTCCAGAGTTAGCCTGGTCTTAAGACACTGGAACTATGGAGGAAATAGAACCAGCTTCAATCCCCTGCCTAGAATTACTCCCTTCCTTGAATTAATTCCCTCCAGTGAGCCTTGCCCAGGCTGATCAGGGATAGCCATGCTGGGTCAGGTTCAGCCTCAGCTCACAGCTTGGCACAGAGCTTTATCCCCCTAAAGGCTGTGTAGGTGCCAGCTGGGTGAAGCACTTGCTGACATCTTTTTTACCAGATAGATCTTTGGACACTCCCATGCTTGTTATCATTACAGGAGGGCTGTGAGAAACAGCCACAGCACCTCCCAGGTAAAGCCATTTCTGATTTGAGAGCAAAAGCAGCTACTGCTGTTTGGTTCTGCTTGGTTGCCTGTTGTTTCCCTGAACCATTTACAGAAATATTGAAACACCTCTCAAAAAGATTTCACAGCATTTACTAAAAATGTTATCTTCTGTTAACTATTAAGGGTTTAAACTGATGTTGTCACTGAACCCCAGACACTGCTATTGAAGGTGTTATCAGGTGTCCCAGATCAACTAATTAATTAAGAGAAGCAGATAATTTTCAAGAAAAGATGCTTGAAAATCACTAACTGAGGAAGAACTTGCCTGTGAGGGTGGTGAGGCCCTGGTACAGGGTGCCCAGGAGGCTGTGGCTGCCCCTGGATCCCTGGAAGTGTCCAAGGCCAGCCTGGAGCAGCCTGGGATGGTGGAAGGTGTCCCTGCCCCATAGCAGGGGGTGGGATGAGATCAGCTCTGGGGTCCCTTCCAGCCCAAACCATTCTGTGATGCAGTGGTTTTGATCAATATCAATAAAAATATCTACAATCCTGAATGTAAGCCTTGAACTTTTATCTCTTCAGGTGAGGTGATGATCACTGGGTGATCTTTAAGGCCCTTTCCAACCCATTCTCTGTTTCTATGAAATGCCCCAATCATGAGTGCACATTAAATATATGCAGGTTAGCAGGACAACATTAACTAATATAAATTCATGCTACAGCTTAAGTTCTTCATTAACCTCTAATATAGATTTTCTTTGATAAACTCATTTACTCACTGCTTCTAAGCTAAGCTCCTATGGCCACCAGGACAAGTGTCTCACACTTCCTGAAATCCCTTTTTCCATTTTCAGCCTGCCTCCTAGTCCTTTCCTTTAGTGCAGCCTGGTTTTAGACTAGAGCCTGGGTTTAGACTAGAAGAGACAGTGGGAAATGATCCCTACACACTCCTTACCTCACTTCAGGAGTTTAAAGCCTTGCTTTCAGGAGCCAAACTCCACCCAATGGATGAAGGGATTGATCTATGCTAATTACAGGGCTTTTTTATCAAGTGCTATCCCTTTGTTTCCAACAATGAGAAAGAGCAAATTACTGTGTAATTACTGTGTCACTGACCTTAAATTTTGTGTACCTGCAGTGCTTCATTCAGTAGTGTTTGGCACCTGCTGTAGCTCTGGCATCAAAGTCTACTGTGAGGCTCTTCAGGGCTACCTGTACATGGGCTGATCACTCTGAATTCCTGCAGAGACCTGAAGCAGATGGGCCAGAGTTAATCCTGGGTAAGGGGCTCTCCTCAGTGTGATATGGGGTGAGTCTTAATGGGACTGGAGAGAAACACTGCTTGCTAACACAACAAGGCTGAGGTTCAGGGCATGGCTTAAAAAACCCCAAAACATCCATGGCAATTTTCTGAGTTTCTTTGCATCTGCCATAGAACAACAGCTCTTAAAATCTGTAAAAGTGCTGCCTCCACTTTAGAACACAGAGCAATATTACTGATGGGTCGAATTTCTTCCTGATACAGGGCAGAAAAGGTCCATTCCTAAGAATTTTGCAGAGATTCACTGCTACTTTTGCAAAGAACACTGCATTAGGTGTATTGATGTGCTATGAAATGCCAAGGTAAAATGTGCTATAACTGTTAAGACAAATGCCCAAGCCCACACAGTATTGACTGGGTACCTCATTCTCTGTCAGTGTTCATCTGCACAAAACCCCAAACCACATTAATCCCATGGGCTGCTCCACTTATTAATGAGCCCTGCTTTTAGTGAACAGCAATGACTCAGTCTAACACAAGTGATAAGATTAAGATACTCCAGCTACTCAAATCTAGCAGATGCTATTGAAAACTGTACCTGCTCTACCTGCTGTGAACAGTTCTAATGGTTCTACAGGGCACAGGACCTCCAGCAGCAATGGAAACAGAGACCAGCTCTCCTCCTCTGCAAAAACAGCTCTTGGTGTGACACACCATCTTCACAGCTGTACTGAGCTCACAGAAAAGTGTTTTCATCTACCTGTTGAGATATGTATGGGATATGCACTTATTCTGCAGTCAAGCTCATGCAACAGATGCTCCAAACTTAATGCACACAAAAAAGTTTCATTATTACAAACAATACAAAAACAAACACACAAAGCTCGTGTACTAGCCCACAACCATCATTCTTATTGTGTATCATTCCAGGACACCATTCCTCAATTACAATTTCACAAGCTAAGATACAAAACATTACATAAGAGCACAGAATGAGGGCACAAGATTCTGACAATAACTTAAGAGCCATTATGAGAAATATTGTAACAAATAGGAAATAATCAAACATTCATCCAGTGTAGCCAGCTGTTTAGGGACAATGGTGCAAAGTGAAGCAATACTTTTGTGATCACTGTTTTGTTCTTTTTCTTTCTTATGAGGGCAGCCATCCAAATCTACAAAAAATATTTACTATAATAATTAAATAAGTACCTCAATGCTTAAAAGCCTTCAGAAAATAGAACTGAATTCTAGTTACATGTTTACAAGCATGAATGAGGGCAGAAGTGAGTAAAGCATGAATCTTTTTATAAAGAATTAAATTTTAGACCAAGATATTTAAATACAGTGTTCTCAAAAGTGTCTGCTTCCAGATGAATTCATGTCATTTATTTAACTCTGATTTCCACAAGACTTATCCCATGCCAAGAATTTACAGCAAAATTCAATTGTAAGAAGTTATAATAAATGTCACCTGACTTGTCTGCACAGGTTCAAATGCATTTAGTCCTTTTTTTTTTTTTTGAATACAATTTCTGGCCTGGGAAATTCTGATAATTACAGCAGATCCTTATCAATGGATGGTAAACACAACATAAATGGAGTCAAGCTCAATTGCCTACAAAGGGCTGGTACAAATCAAGAAAGCAAAAGGTTTCATTTTGCAAAATCCCAGTTAGGAAATGTCAGTGATTATTTATTAAGCATTTATTAAGTTCAATGTAAAAATAAAGCATATTAAATAAGGCAAGGCACATTTTCAATCCTTTCCTCCATTGTATGTTCATTTACTCCAGCATAGCAGTCACCTTAGTAACTCACTGAAATGCTCAAAGCTCCCCTGAATCCAAACCAGAAATCCCAGCTTCAGAGCAGCCTTTCAGAGCGTCCCAGCTGCCCCAGACTGAGCCCATTTTAAAGCCTTGCTGCTGTTTGATATTCCCTTCACAGGCAGGAGCTGAAATGACATCACACAGTCTATGAGCCAGCTGGAGGGGGCCATCCACACCTTGCCCTGCCGGATTTTCTGCGGCTGGAACTTGGAAGCCCCGTCATAGATGACATAGTGAGTGCAGAGCCTCTGGTCAGAGGTGGGCTCTGCGTGGTAGGACACTGTGTTGATGGTCTGGGTCACGTCACTGTCTGGTTTGGGCTGCCTAACCAGCACCTGGCCACCTGCTGCTTTCACCAGCTCCAGCAGGTCACTCTTCTGGTGCTGTTTGAAAGATCCCATAAAATAGAAGTAGCATCCATCAAATAACTTAGGCAGCTGTGTGGAAGAAAAAAGAAACAAGCATGAATACAGGACTTCACAACAAAAAAGTGGAAAGGAAAACGCAGAGCATGCTAAACCCCTACAATTTATAAGTAGAACAGTAACTTAACGTGCAAGGTTCTCAGGGTAAGAATGCAGCCAAGAAAAGCTTGTTTATGTGGTAAATTCTTGCTGCTGTTTAAATACTTTCCAACACAACAGGGTTTGAACTATGAGTTAGGAGTATTTACAGCTACTGTTACAATGCAGTTAGTAAATCCTACAGTGTAATCCAGCAAACAACCAGCAGTGAACCCAGTTAAATGTAAAAAAGGTCCTAAATGGGAATAAATAGTAATAAAACCATTTTTCTTTCAGAACTATGTGCTAAAGCTGAGCAGAGAAGACCAAAGCACATCACCTCCTGTCCCATCAGGTGTGATACTACAGAGAGTGCAACACAGTGTTTCCCTGACAAGGTTACAGCAACATCTCCACTAATGGAGAAAAATGACAGCTTTATGGGTGTTCACGGCTCTCTGGATCACCTTGCACATAATCAAATTTCCTGTCCAAGAGCACATTAAAGTTTTACATCCCCTGCACCTCTGTGTGGCAAAGGGCAGAGCTGCCCAGCCCCAGGTCATTAACCCAGGCTGTGTGGAACACTAAATTTAACCCACCAGCTGCTCCCGGTTGAGCCGCCCGCGCCGGGGGCCACCTTGCACCTCGTACTTCTCCTCTTGTTCTCGAGCTGAGCTCTGCAGGCAGGCTTGCACCCCTGCAAAAACCACAAAAGGGAGGCAGAATTAGACACCCCAAGCTTTGAGAGAGGCTTGCATGTCGTTTTAGGGACTAAAACGTGTCTAAGATAAAAGTATTACAACGCAAGACATCACATTTGGTGTGCTTTAGCAATTTGCTTTTTAAAGCCCGAAAAAATTTACAACAGTGCCTGCAAGATGCAAGTGAGATGGTGAGAAGTAATATCACACTAAAATCAGTGCTATAAACACCAGGAATTATTAGTGCTTCCTCTTATCCTCCAAAGGTCAAGCACTTAATGTCAAATGTCAAACTGCTGATCACTGGGAGCTCAAAGGCAGTGCGAGGAGCCAGCACGGCACTTATGGAATGGACACAACTGCCTGATAAAGAGCAATTACAAGGCAAGCACAAAGCTGCTCCTGAGCAGCCACGGCCTCAAATTACAAATCAGATGGGATTTCAAGGTCTCCAGGATCAGCACAAACTGGAGATTTATGCTGGGGTTTAACAGTGGCATTCGTTTCTGTTAGCACTGCTGCATAATGAGATTGTCTTTTAGAGTCAACATGTTTTTACCTTGTTTTAAGGGCAGTTATTTTTTCCAATGGAGAAAGCACTGATGGTAATGCATTGCTAACGTCCATAAAATGTACTGCCTGACCTCACTCCGGGGAGAGGAATTGCTGTGGTCACCCATTCAAGGATGGAACATTTTGCCTGCATGTACATTGCAGCCATTAATAAGAATTACCCAGGAAAAAGTTTGCAAAGCTGATTTTGCAAAGGGTTCCACGAGGATTTACAATGTGGCCAAGGTTGTAACTTTTATAGCACCTCACTCCTTCCACCGTGTTTCTAATTCAGGCAACTTCTTTGCACCAGGAAAATAGGAAACCCACAGTATATAAAAACTATAAACTGAACCAAATCAAAGAACTGTGGAGGGTTGGCCCTAAAAAGACAGAAAGCCCAAGGCTATGAAGAGAAATATCACTGACAAAGGCACTTGGATGCCATGGCAGGAAGAAGACAACGGACAGGAATATCTAATCTGGAGAGATCTTGAAAGAAGCTCGCAGTAATTTGCTGTCAGTTCATACAAATTCACAAAATGCAATAGGAATTCACATTTTAGGTAGAAGCCCTTCAATGTGCTTACATCAAAAAAGATAAACCTCTACAGAAAATTGCAACTGGCTGAACACTGCAGCAAATATCTGCCTCCCTGTGCAAGTATCAGATTGATTATTTGCACTTGTTCATTCCTTCAAGGAAAATTAACGTGAGCTAGAAGGGCAAACCTAGTCATGGATTTTCCAGAAAGGCAACTTACATATTCATTATTGATAACAGCAATGAATACTGATAACTTAATTTCAGTACTCATAACTCAGAAATAAATCTAAAAGCTATTTCACATTTTATTTATTTATTTTAAATCACCACAATTCAACAAGACTTCCTGTGTCAATGTGCCTCTAACTTACACTGCTGTTCCTTCCCTCCAAGGAAATACAGATATTAATGGGTGCCACTTACCATAAAGGGAGAACTCTCATCTCATCTTAAGAATAGAACTGTCCATTCATTAAGAGCATGTTTTATTTCAATCCACCATCAAAAGCTGGATTTCAAGGACTTTCACTACAGAGATGAGGTTTTTATACAATAAGTGCATCACAAATTGAGCATCCAGTGCCAGCATCAGTAAATGAAGCAAATGGGATACAAAAGTAACAAAAGATTGAATGAATACAAAAGACTACAATGTCTTTTTGAACTGCTGCTTGCCTGGAAAAAAAACAGATGAAGTCAGGGAAGTGACTCATGTCAGTGAAGAGCTGATGTCACAGAAAGCAAAATCTTGTGTCTTGCCTACACACATCAGTCCATTTCACAGTGCCAGCTCCTGTGAGGAGCTGAAAGCCTCAGAGTTCCTTGTCACACCTGATTACAATCCCCCAAGAGGGCCACAAGAGAGACCCATCCACCTGTATCCTGCTCTCTCTGTGCCCACAAGAACCACCAGGCACAGATCTGTTTCCTGCAGAAACTGGAGACATGCAAACAGCCAAGTGTCTGCATGAGCATCATTCTCATTAACTGCAACTTTTCTTTCCCAGCTAGAAACTGGCCAGATCTGTGTCTTAACAGGTTTGTGACACAAAGGATGTGATTTCCAAATAGCATAAAGAGCCAAGAGCACAAATTCAGTGCCCAGGTATCTTCCTTCATTATAACTATTTCAAGAGGCAACAGCTAGGTCTACATACACACACCTTCATGGAGCAAAAAAAAAAAACCTCTGGGGTTTTTTTTGGTGATGGAAAACCAGTACATTTTCAATTATTGAACATATTTTCCATACAAGATCTAGAAGAATTTCCTCTGACATATGAGTGTCACAGGTTTTGAGAAAGGTGCTTACAACACTGAGGGGAACAGTCAAGGATTATTTATCCATGAAGGAAGAATTCCTGACTAGAAGAAGGAAAGCAAATAATGTAAGTGATGGAGACCAGTATGGCCTTTAACTGCAGATTTTGTTCAGACTAATTTGTTGCCAAGTGGCCCTTTCTTCACAATGACTCCTGCATGCTACAGAGTTTGTATTAAAGAACTGAAGAAGCCAAATATCAGAACAAAAAAAGAAACAAAAGAGAAATATGCCCTGGTTCTCATATTTGAGATAAAATGACAGAGGGCTCAAGCTGTTTTTATACCTAATTCCATATTAATTTATCTAAACAAAAGGTTCTTCTCCTGTTCTTTTTTACCCCCTCTCCACAAAAAACTCGCTTCTAGATCTCTAAATCTCCATTATCATTTTCAGGAGCAGTGAATCCTGTTGGATGCAATAACCCAAGTGAGCCTCTCAAGACAGAACAACCAGCTCTGGCTGTGTTATGGTGTCACTTGGAAGCAGCAGGAATGTGCAAGTTTTACCTTTCTTCCAGGAGACTGTAGGACCAACCACAAGATGATCTTGTGCTAAAAACAAAAATATCCCAATTTCACACTTGAGAGTAGGGATGCAAACAGAAGGTTGCAGCACACTGCAGACCCTTCCAGCCTGTTGGGGTTTTTTGTTGTTGTTTTTTTGTTTGTTTTACTTGCTAGAGATTTTCTTTTCTGTAAAAACTGAGTGCTAAGTGGACTCCATTCAGTATAGGCCAGGTCTTTTCCTTCAGTAGGCATTACTGCTAACATGTATAAATGGCTAGATAACAAGACAGTTCCATTTTAATGGTCTCTTCATACAACTCAGTATCATCCTGATTAGGACATATAAAAGGAGATAAAACTCCATACTTTACTCACAGAGATATCTATCAGTCTGCTACTTTTACAGGAACTTTTCCAGAAGCTCTTTTGACCTTACATCACTTAAGTCAAAATAAATAGTAAGTAGATAGTAGATTCTTGTTTGAATCTTGATGATTTCAAACAAGAGCCATGTTTAACTGACTCCCCAAACTCCTGAGATCAGACTCTCATTTCTTTAGCACTCTCACTGAAGAGCCACCAGTGAGAACGTGATGCCAAGGCACTGGTCACATGAATGGACTGAAAAAATTGCTATTACCCTAATTTAAAAATGACCAGGATGCCATCTCTCTTGTGAAACTGAGATGGACACCTTGAGTACTTATGCAAAAAATGTTCAAAACAGGACTGAATCTCAGAAGAAGGACAAGGACAGCCCTAAAAAGGTTTCTGAAAATGGAAGGGAACCTTAGATTTTGAGAAGACACCTGTAATTTTAGGAGGAAGCAGAGATCAGGCTTGTGCTGTTTTCTGCCACACATTCACAGTCTGTGCATTCTTAACCAGCAGGCCTGACTAAAAATCCAATCAGTTCTGTTCTAACATAGGATTATCCAACTTGCACAGGGTCTCAGCCATTCTTGATCTATTCCTTAACACTACAGCCAGTAAGAGCTGTGGACCATCTAAGTTTGAGGCTGTTCAGGTTTATCCTTGCTCTTGGAGAGAAGAGGGTGATGATTACAGCTAGGTGTTAATGGCCCTTTAGTTTAACCTCAGTAGCTGCATCAATCACCCATGAAGGACAAGACTTGTGTGAGTGCAAGTGGGATTTTAATGCCCATGGAGCAGAGCAGAGCTGCCCTGCAGTGTGCAAGCCCTGCTGGATAAAGCTGGCCTGACACAACACCACTGTGGGGCCAGATCCCATGAGCACAGGGATCCTGCAGAGTTCTGCCCTGGAAATACAGAGCATCACAAGCTCCAGAGCCTCCTAAAGAGTTGGTTTCACACCTGCAAGTTTTAGGTATAAACAAGGCAATTTCTACAAAATTTTAGCACAACCCAAGCCTGCACTGAAGTCCCTAGAAAACATGGCAGGAAGAAGTTTTAGCTTAATGCATCCACATTTGGCACACAGAGCACTGCTCATTTTCTCCCCTGACTAACAAGATCAGTAAAGCATCACTACCTGCACTGATCCTGATTACCTCACTGAGCAGCTGCCCCTGCCTTCTCACCTTTGAGGTCTAAGGAGGCTAACAGGTTGCCCACTCTAATTGACCTTTGATACAAGTGCAGCTGCTAGCACTGGAAATAAAAGAACTCATTATTTGCAAAATTTAACATCAGAGCCCTCTAATCCTTATTCATGTAAGTCTTATTGGTTTGTAATGAAACTAACTGCATCAGCAAAAACAATTTGATGAGAATGAAATACAAAAAAAAACCTGGTTGCCCAGAACAAGTTGTAATCACCCACAGATACCCAAGGGTATCTCTCAGTAACTCAATTAGCCTTAGTGGAGTTGTGTTGGATTTGCATTAATAAGGCAAAGAGCAGGGGTTAGTCCCAAAAATCTCTTAGAATGGCTAAAAGTAATTTAGGAATACATGATAGCAACAAAGAAGATGAAATACTACACATCCAAGATCTAGTAGAGAGTGCACCTGATACTTCCTTAGCTCAGACTGCAATAGGTTTTACAACTTACATGCAGATTGAGTAAAGCCTGGTGGGATTTTTTTACCTAGAAATCTGGATTGAGAGAAAGCTTTAGGGGAATCTGGCATGGCTGCCTTCAATTTGTTTTCATAAACAGCCATTACTGGCCTCTGCTACAGCAAAGAATTTTCACACTGCCTCTTATATGCTCATAAACTGACTTCAGACACACAGATTTCCATGGAGTGAGGTAGAGATCTCACTGGTGAACCAAGAGCAGTCTGTTTGCTCATCACATGCAAATGACACAAGATCTGCAGAGACTGAAGTGCATCTGCTTTAAGAATGGTAGCTTGCAAGTGAATCCAGGTGGTATTTATTCAACAGCGTGGAACAGGTGCTTAGAAGTCCTGAAACATTCCCAGCAGCTGGGAGCATGTGATTTTAAAATTATTCCTTCACTTGGAGCCCCAGGAGTTCCACTTTCTTTGGAAAGAAACATTGCTGGCTACAGCTGATTTCTAGTGATCAAAGTGACTGGAGGTAGCCCTTCCTAAGGTCAGGTTAAATTTAAATTCCCCCAGGAGTGTTCATCCTCTGGATTCCATCACAGGCTTTTTAATGAGTGAGGTTGTATTTCCTATCATCTTCCTTGATGCCTTGTTTTCTTCAAACCAGAAGCCAGCTAAAACAAAGGACTCCACAAATATGGAAAACTGAGTATCTGGGTGGCACACAAAAGAGGGAGCTTTGGAAACACCAAGGTTTCCTTTTCTTCTAGACCTTATTTCAGACCAATCCACCTCCAATCTCTGCAGACACCACACTGAAGATATTCTCACTTCCATTTTCTCCTCTGCAAACCCCAGCAGCTTCACTGTGTAAAGCTGTGAGTTCCTTCCCAGCAGGTGCAGGCACTGAGGGAGTGCAGAAGTTCAGTCCCTGCTGGTTTGAAGCACTGCCCTCAGCTGCACACCGCATACAAGCAGAACCTGCACTTGGGAGTGTTCTAAAGCCTCTCAGGGCTAAGAGTCCTTTTGTAGGAGGCTGCTGAAGGAAGTTTCCAAGTACAGAAAGAGCATGAAGCTCCAGTGATCAAAAGTTTTGGGTGTTTCAAGGAGGGAGGGCTTTGCTGAGAATCAGCCAGTCACCTAAAAGATGTCCAGCCTGAGGAGCAGTCAGCTCAAGCAGCTTTGCACTCCTCTGCTCTAACAGCCTAAACAAGGATGGGCATAGAATATTCAGAAAGATGTTTTCACCTTGAAATGTCAGTCATGCAGTCCCCCAGCTCTTCCAGTCAACTCCCTGTTGTTGTGAGTCCTTACAGGAAAAGCAGTTTTTTCTGCCTCCTTATAATGATCAGAACTAAATCACTGCTGCTGCTTTCAGGTAAGCAGAGCAGGGGAAGGAATGAGCAATCAGATGCTTAGAATTCTGCCAGACACTTCTCTGCCAGGACTGACACAAGCTTGTTTCAATGCATATCATTACTGAGATAATTTTTCATTCCCTGCTTTAACAGATGACAATAACTTAAAGAAAAAAAAAACAAGCTGAAAAGCTATTAAAGACTTCTGCTGGTTTTAATTACACTGTTCTATGCTGCACATAAAGCTTAGAGGAAATACAGTGCTGCTTGAATCTTTGTCTCAGCCCACTTGCCGAAGGATAATGACTGGCCACTTCGTGCCCTATTACCATCCCTGAAATAATAAAGGCCATAAAATAATGAAACCAGTGAAAGATATGGCCAAGGGCAAGGAGCACTGTGGCCACACTGCCTCAATTCAATTCTGTGCTGCCTTGCAAGCGGATGCACTGCTGACAGTGTGCTGTGTACAGAAAAGGTGGCAAAGCAAGTGGTAACATCAAATTGTTCTGCAGTGAAGATCTAATATTGCTCAGTGGTGACATCCTTTCATTTTAATCTCCCCCCTGAAGACAAAAACTGGGGATACATACTTAAATCTTGGCTCTCCAACAGCTCAAACCCTGCTGGAACATTCCACATTACCTCTCTACCAATGTGAATGGATGCTGGATCTGTGAGCATGGACACATGGAAACAGGAGTATCACAGAATCACCAAGAGAAGGAAACTGCTTTTTATGTTACTGCTGTAACACAAGAGTTAACATAAAGAAACTCTCAAATAAAATACTGTTTTGCAAGCTTCTGATGTTTTTTAAGAAGAGGTATAATGTGGAAGCTATAAATATAATTTTAGGGGTAGCAGTCAAATGCAGCTTACCTGGTAGTAAAAAAAAATTCAAGCACTCCCTTATGCATAGTCAGCATTTCATTAAGTGCCTCACTGAGCTTTGTTTTTTCAAATATTTTAGTGAATTTTTTCAACATGAATTCACTTTAAGTGAACAGCTTAGAACAGTGAACCATAAACAACTTATATTTATTATATAACCAGGAAATGCACATACTTTTGGAAGTTTATTTGCATCACATTTAAGGAAACTTATCCAAATAGAAGTCAAAAAGCCACGATAAATGGAAAATGGAAAGGAAAAGCAAGGACCTCTTTTTCCTAGACAAATGTTCCATCAGCAGGAGTCCCATTATTTGTTATAACAATCTTTAACTTGTAATGACTCTGAAGAAGACTGATAACAGACTGGTGGGAACAGATGGAGTGGTGCTGTTAATTATAGGCACTTAGCTGCATCAGACCCCATGAGTTATTGCTAACATTTCCCACTAGGGAGGAGAATCACTTGCTTTTAAGTAGTATGTTGCTTACTAAGCTGGGAGCATTAGCAGCCAGGATTGTATTAATCAGTACCAACAACATAAAATAAAACTCAACTGTGAAAAAAACCCACAAAAATACTCCCTGAACAACCCCTGGACTATATAATATTTTTTTTTCTTTTCCAGTTGCCTCTAAATATGAAAGTTCTTCATGAAGATTTAAATTCAGGTCTCACTAATGAAATCTCCCTACCATTCAGAAGTTTTCCAAGCATCTGAGTAGCAGGAAGATGAAGTGAAATGAAATAAAGGAAGCACATAGGATAGAATGTATGCAAACTTTCTGGGCTGAGTGAAGGCAAGGACCTGTCAAAGAATTCACCACAGAAACAGGGTTTTCAGTCTTGGGAAAAAAAGCATGGAACAAACTCTCTGGAAGCCAAATGAACACCCTGAGTCCAGTGTCCAACCTGATGCTGTGCTTTAGTTTGCAGCTTCTGAGGCATTGCACGGTGTTTTCATAAACATTAGTGTCCAGGCCATTACAGAATCCTTATGTTCTGATATTTAGTCACACAGTAGAAAACTGGAATGAAATCTGTCTAAGTTTTCCATGGCCAATTAACTCATTTGTAGTGTACTTATTAGCTAAAGGGACTTAGCCATAAAGGTCAAGGGGAAGAAGATGGGTTTTGCAACTACTGTGAAAGCAGATATTAAGAAATACATCAGAATAAATAAATAAACTCAAAATTTAGGGTTTAAGTCCACAGAACAGCTGTATAAAAAGCATGCACTGTACAAACACAAATCACAGACTGCATGAAACATGACTTGCATGCTAACTTGGGATGGAAGTTCCAACCTCCAACAGATCTGAGCTTGTATGTGAACAGAAGCTCACTTCCCACAGGCCTTGAGCACATATCCCAAGCAAGCCAAAGTCTCCTCTCAATTTCCATGCAAACTGCTCATAACAAATCCTGGAATTCAATAAAACCCTTCCTTCTCTCCCAGGGTGTCTTGCATAATGTTCCAAATCAGTCTTAATGTGGCAATGAAAAAATTCACTCCCCACTGATACTTAGGCTATGATCTCTTCAACACACCTAATGATGAAATGCACTCTTACCAAGGAAGTAGTAATTACATTTAATCAAATATATTCAAGTAAATTTCTAGTCATTCCTGAGAATTAAAACAATGCCTTGCACTTTGTGTCAAGACAGCACTGATATTAGGGCAGTTGTTGAAAAATAAAAGTTTCTTTGGAGTTCCATCTACAATTTCTCCTTAAAAACCCCAAGGAATGCCACATATTTAATACTCACATTCAAACTTGAGGACCCAACATCCACTCAGAACAGCCATCATGCACTTGACAGTGGTTGGCATTGGAACATCAGGGATAACAAGATGAGTTACTAGGAGAGAGATTACATCAGTAAAACTAAAAGCACAGAAAAATCAGAACCATGCCTGGCTGAAAAGCAATCAATCATTATTTAAAGAATAAGCAGACTATAATAATTTATCAGTACTCTTTCCAGCACAAGGAGATGATTTTTGAGACTATGATCTGAGTTAGTAGGAGAGCTATTAGAGATTTTGTGGGCTTCAACATACACTTGCTGTGAAAAAGGGAACTCATAGTTTTATAGTTCTACACTAACACTTGAATCTTCAGATGAGGCTCCAGTTTATAGGACAGCATTTTTTTTTCAATCCTTTTAGAGTTATATTTAACTCTGACAGGAATCTTACTGAGGGATCTCACTGCTTTAATACAAAGCTAACAGAACTCCACTCAACATTCTGGAATAGTAATCCAGAAGTGAAAGATGGCAGGGGGAAACTACCTTAGAATTTTGTTCACAAGCACTCCAAAGAAAAACTGACAGGAGGGATTAAAGATAATATTCCTGTCCTCAATGAGGGGAAAAGAACTCCACCAAACGCCATAATTTGGGTTCACCAATCTTTATGAAGAACAAAATCTGAAGGAAGGCAGCATGCGAGAAGATATGTAAACTTTCAGTCAATGCCGTGCCCTTCTCTCAAGGCTCACTTCTCCCCAAGGCTCACTTCTGGAGAGTAAAAACTTTACAGGATGTCTCACAAGCAGACACCTTAAAGTTGGTAAAAGGGGTGTAAAGAGAAGAGGCCTCTGAGGAGACTCTGGGATTTTAAATAACAGACAATAAACTGCCAAACTGTGGCTCCCCCTGAAACCTGCTGCCTTGATAGCCACACAAGCTTTATTATGTGTTTACATGCAAAACACACCATCAGTCCAGTGCAGCTACAGCTCAGGGGTTTCAGAAAGTGCCCTTCCCAGCAGTGATAAAAAGCCTCTTGCAGGTAGTGCCTTAAACCATGAAGTGCAGGACTGCAGTTACTTGTATTTGAACAGAGACATTTCAACAAGACTCCTTACCTCTGCTGTTAAATTCAGTGCACCTCTGGGCCTTCAGGACTGCTGCTAATTTGTTCAGCAATTTCTGCTGCTCTACACTAAGATTGCTCCCCAGTATACCAAGGGGTCCATTTCTTGGCTGGCTGGAGCTCAGCACCTGCATGAACACAAAATTCTGCAATCAGCTCAATATTTGGGAACATAAAGAAAGCAACTTACTTACTGGGCAGCTTTCTTTTTCAAGAGTAAGCATTTTGAAACAATTCATGGCAAGCTTAGTGGACAGGGCCCATGAATAAATGTCCATGTAACAAATCAGCTCCACATTAGAGATACTTCATTAAGCTTATGCAAGGTACCAAACCATGGATCAGTTTTTCCTCCCTTGCCCTCTCTGGTGCTTTTCAAAGACACTGGGGGGCACAAACAGAGCTGGCTGAACACTGTGTAAACAGCCTGGCAGACTGCAGTGTTTAAAGAGAATAAAAATCCCAATTAAGTAGTAAAACCTCCTACTTTTAGCAAAGTATTACCATATTATTGAGTAACATATATCATTAATATCTGCACTTCCTTTTAGTAGAAGTCCCTAATACTTTACCCTGTAAACAACCAATGCTGAAGTGGGATTTTAGATGTGGGTAGTATTAATGTACAGTAAGAGAAGCTTTAGGATACTGCAGCTCCTGGATTTTCCTAAACACTCCAGATTCCATGGCACAGACAGACCTTTGAGATCCAGTTACCCCACAGCCTCAGGCTCTGGAACAAGTCATCCATGTGAGCACACACTCACCCCAAAGCAAATGCAAATACCAAAATGGTTAATTTGGCACAGAAGAGCTACATCTTACATCTGCTGCAGGTGGAAGGAACAGCCACATCAGTCCTGGTTTAGCAGCAACAGTTTACTTAAGGCCACTGGGTACTTTGTGACCTCAATGAGGAGGGATCTTTGCAGGCTGTTTGGGCTGGAGTAGACATGGGCTGCTTCTATCAGCCAGGTCAGCTTAATCCTCCTCCACTGGGAAGCACAAAGCATTTCATAATGCAGCCATTTGTTAGGTCTGAACACCTGATTCTTGTTACAAGTCCTGGGAAGTCTTTGTCCAAAGGAGGAGAAAAACAAAAACCCCAGCACAATCTCCCAAAAGCTATTTTCTAGTGCTGAGCTGATATTTCCATTGCTGGACAAAGGATGACAGTGGAACAGCCTTTTAAAGGCACACAAAAAGCACCTGGAACAAAGGCTGCTGCTGTTTGCAGACAGTTTGGAAAGCAGAACCAATTTAGATATGCAGAAAAACAACATCAACAGCAAAGTTCAAGCACTGATACTTGAGGAATAACACAGGCTCGTTCTCCTGTAATAAAACCACATGACAAGAAACATCTTTTGTCTTCCCACATAAAGCTGTAACACAGAACTTCATAGCTTGTCAGTGTTCCCCACACATACTAGAAACACTGTCCAAGACAGCTCCCAGCCTATTTTAAACCTCCCTGTAAAGGAGGTGATGTACTGTACTCACATCCGAGCCTTCAATATTTAAAGGAAGAACTCACAGCTTGTTGTTCTGTTAAAAAGCAAAACACAAAAACAAACCTACACAGACATTTACCTCAGAGGGCTGGGTGAGTGAAAGTGATTCATTCTCCACTGGTAACATGAGCAGAGATTTCATCTTTTTGCTTTCTGCGTAGTCCACAGGCCGCAGACCAAATATATTACTGGCAAAACAAGCACAGATGGGTTTAAGTAAATAAAATGTGACTTGATTCTTAACTAACCAGGCATATTAGCTGGGTAGCTTTCCCTCCCACTTTCTTATTAATATGTAATTTCAGCTAAAAGCACAAAGCTTCAAGTAAGAATTGCATCCAAGACAGATGGATACTGAATTACAAGCTGTTGCATTCGGCTGAGGAGTAAGGGATGCTCAGAGCAGAATGTTCAGTTAAATAAACCACAGCCCCTGTTAAACTGTCTCAAGATGCACTTTGATATCATTTGCAAGACCCAGAAATTTCAGCTTTAATCTTTCATTGCAGTCATAGAACCAAGAAATGTATTTTTGGCTTATCCATTTGCCATAAAAGACATGTCAGAAGACTCTCCATAGCGTATTAAACACGGGAGCTTGATGTGGTAGTGCTTTTACGGGAAAAGCTATCTGCTTCCTACTTGGGAACCACAGCTCCCCTGCACTTCCAGCTCTGAGTGTGCATCTCATTTTCCCTCAGTGTACTGTTCCACAGAACACATCAGAGCCAATTCAGTCAGATTTTAGTTGGTTTGCCAATTTTGTTCAAAGCTATTGATTGCAGGTGGCACCTCATAGTTATTAGCTGTGCTTCCAGACTGATTTCCTCTTTTAGCACTCCTCAGACAGAGGTGATTGCTATAAACACATCAAACTCAGCCATGGCTTCAATTTCTTCTCCACACAACTTTGCTGCTGCAGGACAGCAGTGAGGGGAGGAAAGCCTGAAATTGCAGAACAGGTATCACTGCCACTAGCAAACAGGAGCCTCTGCCAGCACTCTGGGGAAATATTCTGCCTGCTTTGCCCTTTGTGAGAATCATGGCTGCTGCAGCTGATCCTCTGCTGCCCACCTCACACAGCTCTGGCTCTCCAAAGGCACAATGAGAGCTCATTATGGAGGGGAAGCTTGTCATGAGAACAAAGCCCTGACTCAGTGTCTGAAACCTGGCAAGCTTAGTCATCAAACAATGAAACATTCAGAGAGGTCACAGGACCACTGCAGCTTTGAAGAGCTCTCTCTTGGCCCCACATTTCTGTGCAGCAGGAATCCAGGAAGCTTTACAGGGAATTCCACGGAAGGCCATAACCCAATCCAGCCCAAAGAGCAGCTCAAATTATTAAGTCTCCACTCTGACTTAACTAGGAGGCTTTGGCCAGTGCTGAGCTGAAAGATAAGTCTGATCTCAGCACCCTTCTGTAGCCCTGCTCACTAACACAGCCCCTGGGGAAAACAACAATCCACAAAAATCCCCCCCAGAAGAGCCCAGGATGGTGTTTTACACTATTACCAACCCCAAGCTCTTCTGTGCTACTAATGAGCACAGTGCAGGCATAATAGAAACTGTGCAGACTGAAAGATAATTGGTTAAATCTCTGCCCAGGCCTGGGAGTTGCAGCCCATTAAATATTGTCATGCTGTTCCTGCTTTGTCATGCATCATCAGGGTAGCTCTTGCCCTTTCCTTAAATAAGGCCAATATTCAACTCAAACTGCTGCAAGATAAAGCTCCTTTGAACAATGCATCCAGGGAGGGGGAGAAATGCATATAAATATCATCAAACACCCCCCAAATCACCTTTAGACTAGCTGGCTGACCTTCCACTGTGAGCTAAGCAGAGGGAGGAATCCCTGCATGTCAGTAGCACAGATTTGGGAGTGCTTTTCCCTCCAAAAGCACAGTAAGGCTCTTGACTGTTGGAAAAAACTCATAAATGCTTACCATAGAAAGAAAAACCTCATCAATGTTTACTCTAGAAAGAAAACCCTCATCAATGTTTACCATTAAAAAGACATACACCACCCCAGTTAAATATAGAACATTTTTTGCCAATTGAACTATACAAACACAAGCTCCAGCTCCTCCTTCTGTATTCACTTACAATTTTCTGCTAAAGTTTTATGCTTGTTTTAGTTGCTTCTTACACTAGAGTGTTGTGACATGCTGTCCCATCATTATTCAGCATTGAAGAATGAAGGGTTATTTACTGCATGTTAAGGTGGCATAGTTAAATTGTGACAAGTTTTAGAGCTGAGGTCTGAAAAAGGAACACCAGCACAAGAAATGGTTTAAGAGTTTAGAATATTTGCAACTAAACAGATTGTTGAGCTTAAAGAGAGTGTGAAAGTGTAGCTGAAACAGGAGAAAAGAGGGTTTACATAATCAAAAGCAATACAAGGAACACATCCTAACAACAGATTTTCAAGTAGGATAGTGTTGTAAATTACTTTTCAAAGAGAAAGGAAGAAAACTACATTTGTACTTTTTTAGTAAGGCAGGGGAATGGGGAGCAGAAGCTTTAGGGAAATGGTGCTCACATCCATCTTGATCCAACCCATCTGAACAAGGGAAATCATCCACCTTGTTCTAAGATGAATTGCTACCCAATATTCAAAACCAAATTAGACATGCACATTACATCCACCCTAACACACAAACAGTGTTTTCAGAAATACCAATAACTCTGTGTGCTCCTCCTACAAATCTGGGGTTGTTGGGAATGGCTCCAGTGCACATGATGAGTTCCACGCTCAGCAGGAAGACACAATTGTTTCTGCTGGAGAGAAATTACTGAGGTGTCCAAGCTGGAATACAAGGTCCCCAAGGCATCCCTCTTTCTACCAGAAGGCAAGTGGCCTTTCTGGAAGTTTTTTTTTAAGCATTCCAGAGTCAAGTGTACATTTGGGTGCAAGCAGCCTCCTGTTAGCCAGTCATCAAGGTACTAATAATCAGTAGGGGGCTTCTACAGCTGGAACAAATCCAATCCCACAGCAGGATGGCTGTGCTGAAAACAAAGAGCAGCCCAGGGAGGAGCAACTCAACCAAATCTGAGTATGACTTTCCATGAAATGACATAATACTTTGTAATTCTTTCTAATCAGGGCTTTTAAGCTGCTCCACAAACCAAGTTTTGTCCCAGCCCTACAGAAGAGTTCAGCAGTGAATAGAAATCCTGCAGCCAGGTCTCAGTGCACTACACACCAGCTCCCACATGGAAATCTGACTGGCTCAGGGCTCTCCAGGCAGCACCTGGATTTTGAAAATGTGGTAAACAGAAACCTTTCCTGACCCTGACAGAGGGAAGAAAACCTCATCTGTGTAGCCAGAAAGACCATCTGAGATATCCAAACAGAGCCAGGAATTTAATTAACCTACTGTCAGCAGGAAGCTCAGCACACTGTCTTGCACTTGGGCAGCAAAGACCTGCACTATCCTGACTCAGAATAAGGAGACAAAATGGTATCAGTGCCATGGGTCTAATGCCTCCTGGAATGACTGCAGGTTATAATCATTTTTGTCCCTGTGCCATTCATAATTGAGGACCACGGTCTTCACCTTAGCATTCCCACAGGTTTGTTCAGAGTCACACTCACAACCACTACACCTAAAAACCAGAGCAAGTTGACAGCTTCTGCTAATGCTAAACTTAGTGTGCATGAAGAACTGGAAAGACAGCCCATTTGAGTGAAAGCATTTAGGAAGTACTGTGAAATTGCAAATGCACAGATCTAATTTTTCAAATCACTTGGCTTGCTGTGAAGCAAAGAAAGAAGAATTCAAGCATGTTGAAAAAAGCCATAAAAATAAAAATTAGTTATGTGTAGGAGATTAACGTAAAAAAATTAACAGGACCAGTAGGACAATTAATAGGTCCACTGGTCCATATAATATTTTTCATTTGTAGTTTGTGTCTCTCCCAGACAGTGAAAACTTCAATGAAGTTGTGGACAACTGAAGTGCCATGACTATTAAATTTCATTGATTTCAAAAAAGAAATTTTGCCAAGGAATAAGAAATCTCAGGATTAATTTAAGCCCTCATCTGTTCTCACTTGGTCCAAAAGATATGTGGCTGCTTCCTGTTATATAGAGCTATTTCTTAATGCACTACAAGTTAACATGAAAGGAGAAAAACACAGCCTGAAAGGCCCTTGGAATGTGCCCACTGGATGGGTTTATGAATATCTGACATCCAAATCTGAAATGGCAAAGCCTCAGCTCTCTGGATAGGGCTGTACCTCACCCACTGAGGTTTCCCAGATAAATCCTACATCCCTCCACAGACCAGTGTGTCTTACCTGCCTTTGGAGCTGCTGTCAGTCATTCTTGCACACCTTTAAAATCAATTTCACCTGGCACAACTGAGCATCATGCTAAATTTCCAAACTACTGCTCTAAGCAGGCTGTTGGATGCAAGCTCTGTTTTTGTTCCAGTAGATTAACTCTTCAACACACAAGGGACATTAAGACACCAAACTGAGTTAATTCTACTGTTAAGACAGCAGCAAGACATCAGTCACTCCTGGGAGGTTTCATGCTATATATTTCATGGTGTCCCAAGTAACATTTGAATGCATTTGTCATGTTCACATTTTACTTAGTTTAGCTAAAGTAAAACACTTAAGTAACCACAGTGAACTAATCAAACTTTCCTGCCCGCTCCTGTGAGATAAAGAAGAATCACTTTATCCCACCACATTAAGGAGAGACCTCTCCTTGGCTGAAAGTTAATTCATTGTGAGTCTGGAGAGCCTATAAAAGGACTAGAAAGGGTTTTATACACCAAAGAGAAAAAAAAAGTGAACTAAAATTAGACCAATTTATCCATTTGACAAAATTGGTTTGGTGTATAGCTCACACACTGCACACCTCTAAAGTTAAGGCACTCCTCAAGAAAATACACCTTGGAGATGCAAACTCTATTCATCACTGCTTCAATTCTACTGTAAAGAACCTAAAATAATGTGAAGGTGAGCATTAAGTACAAAGAGACCAATTATAACTAGCCATAATGAAATAAACCGTAATTGCACCATTTGAAGTGATCAGCCTCTTCTCATCTCCTGTCTTCAGAACTGTGGCCAGCTGGTTTCAGAGATCTAGGAAAAAAGTCACTGAAGAAAAACAAGCTTCTTGTCAGATGTGACTCCATTATAAGGACACCTGCATTCACTAGGAAAAAAGAATTAACTAAACCTTCTAGATACAAGAATGTTCAAACCCCTTACCTAGCCAAATCCAACCACTGCCTCATTAGGACTACAACTGGCAGAGGCTGCAAAAATATCCTGTGAGATTTGCAAAGTCATGATCCAGGGGAAGATCACAGCACCATTCACTGCTGGAAGCCACTGGGGCACAGGAGGGAAGGGAGGCACGAGGCATTCCCAGGAATCTCAGACACACTGCTCTTGTTTCTGCTGTTTTTTGAAAGCATTTGGAAGGGGCCAGCAGAGCACGCCTCAACACTTGGTTTGTACATCTGTTTCTCTGTGGCTCTAACACTGTGTGTAAAAAATATGGGAGGGGAAACCCCAACCCCTCTCCATGCAACACACACAGTGGCATTTCAGCCAGAGAGCCTACAGAGGATCTGGAAGGCTCAGTTATTCCAGGAAGGATGGACAGGACTGAGTTTGTGCCACAGCACCCAGAAAAATCACACAAAGATTAATGGCAGCTACATTTGTTCTCAGAGATTTTAACTGAACATTATCTACATTCAGTGTAAAGTTAAAGCAGGGCTTAAGGTTTACATAAATCTCCCCTTCCCTGATTTAAAAGCTTCTGTTTCAACAGAGTCATGTTTGCTCACATATAATGAGCTGAAAGAGGTTCAGCTTGACCTCTGTTTGTGGGAGCACATGCAGCAGAGCTAACAGGAGCCCTGCAGAGTCCATGGCTGGCACTTGGAGCCTGGGCTGAGCAAAGCCAGCAGAGCTGAAACCCTGCCACAACCTCACAGCAAAGCTGTTGGCTGCACTCTCAAACACCAGACACACATGTGCCAAGTGTGACACAACCAGCTCCTCGTATTCAAGGGGCTTGAAAATCTCTGAAGCTGTCAGCTTTCCCAGGTGCACCAGTCCTTGCTGCTCAAGAACAAAGTGAAGATGAACAACTGATCCTTGTCTTACTTTTTCATGCTCAAGTCTTGAGTCAAAAGTCCTGTTGCTTTGTTTTGGCTTTGTCTTGTTGTTTTTTAAACTTTAATATATTCAAGTTTAGGACTTTATGAAAACCCTATGCTTTCCCACAAAGCACCTTAATTCTCTGAGCTTCAAAAGTGTGAATGTTGAAAGCTGAAGTGATTAAGCTGAACTTGTTTATACTTCTTCATATGGCTGCCACAGAAACTTCATCCTGTTGTGTTTCTATACACACACACCTATTGACAATTTGCACTGGACTCAAATTTATACACACAGGCCCTGGCACAACAACAATACAACCCCTAAAATTATGTAAGTGCCTGGAATGCTTACAGGGGTTATTCATACACTGAACATTCTTTACCACCTCCACTACACAAATGCCAAAATCTTCAGGAGACTTCACTGTATAGAAGAGTCAAGCGAAAATATTACTTAGCTTTTTTTTTTTTAATTAAAAGGTGTATCAAGGATTAGTGCTTTGATCCAGAAAGGCAAAAATGAAAATGCTCAAATCTCAGCCTGTCATTTGTGAAAACAGAAGAGACTGGAGCAAAATGCCTTCTGCTAGCAAGTAGTGTAGTAACAGTAAGAGACAAAAACCAGCTGTAGCAGTTCAAAACTCATCTAGCTCAGCATCTTGGAGCTGACAGCAGCTATAACAAGATGCCAACAGGAAAGTGTAAGATCAGGGTGAGCACATGTTGTTACTTTCCTCTCCAGTACTCCAGCTCTCTATGACTCAGGCACCCTCAGAAAAGCTTAGGACAAAGCCAAAAGGAAAGGCAACACCAACCTGGTACGCACAGCATTAACAGCACACACTGAACACCCACAAAGCACATTTATCACCAGCAGTGCTTCACATTCTCTAACACCCCCTGTGGGTGCTGCAGCAGGGGCTCAAGGCAGGAAGAGCCTGGGTGCAATGCCAGCACTCACACGGCGTGGCGGGAGGCGCCGTGCAGCAGCAGCAGCTCCACCACGGCCAGGTGGCCGTTCCTGGCGGCGTCGTGCAGCGGAGAGTCGTTCTGGTAGCCCGTGGTGTTCACCAGCGCCCGGTGCCGCAGCAGCAGCTCCACCACCTCCCTGTGCCCGTGGTTACACGCCTCGTGCTGCGGGGGAAACACACGGGGGCGCTGTGAGAGCCTGTCCCAACTCTCCCTCATTTGAGGGCCACCGAAGAGAAGCCCCCTCCTGTCTTCTCTGTGGGAGAAAGTTACACACGCCACGGGGCTCGAGACCTGAGCACAGTGCTAAGCTGTTGTTCACAAGTGTGTTTGCTGTATGCCACACTGAGCTACCTCTCGGCCTGGCTGGACTTCTCCTGAATTTTAGGTGGTCTCCCACAGAAGACCCTCACCTGTTTTACACCACCATGACAGACACAATGAGATGCAAGAAGCTTCTCCAACCCCTGTGTGAAAGGACCCCTCTCCTCCTTCCAAGGACTGGGACTGAAACCCCCAACCCAGGGGAGGTGTGTGGGGAGGCAAGTTAACAAAACCTAGATCTTTGCCTGCAGCTGTGACCACTGGCCCAAGAAGACAATGGCTCCTGCTTACTGCTGAGAGCATGGACTACCTGTTACAACTATTCTTTATTGCATCTGTATCCCCTCCCCCCTCACAATTTCCAAATAGAGTTATCATAATAAAAACCTCTGAGTTAGCTAGATTTTGAGATCTCCTTGACTATACTGGACCAAAGAACTTGGTCTCTACATTTGGTAGCTATATCCCCCTCTTTATCTTTTTCTCTCCCTTAATCCTTCTATTGCATTTTGCTGTGGTCACTCAATAAAGGTGCATTTGTTTTGATTATTACAGAAAATCCCCTGTGCCTTGTCAGGTTTTTTTGCACCCCGAGATCAAATCCACGAACTCCGTTCGTAAGGACTGATTGTGACAGGGACTCAGGTGAAGCAGAACCCACAGGGGCACTCCAGAAGCCATGGCAGCACTCCACAGATGACAGGGAAGATGATGCAAGAGTGCTGTGTCACATTCCTGACAGGAATTTACCTGGGAACCCAATGTGGGAATGCTCTTCACTCAGGGTCACCGAATGTGGTGGTGTCTGCAGGGGTCTCAGGATGAGGGAAGAGATGAGAATCTTGACTTCATGTTTCAGAAGGCTGATTTATTATTTTATGATTTATATTATATTAAAAGAAAATTATATACTAAAACTATACTAAAAGAATAGAAGAAGAGGATAGAGGAGGATAGAGGAGAAAGAAAAGAGGAGGGAGGAAAGAGGGGGAAGGAAAGAGGGGGAAGGGGAAATAAAATCTTGTGACTGACCAGACAATCCGAGCCAGCTGACTGTGATTGGCCATTAATTAAAAACAACCACATGAGACCAATCCCAGATCCACCTGTTGCATTCCACAGCAGCAGATAATCATTGGTTACAATTCCTTTCTGAGGTCTCTCAGCTTCTTGTGAGAAAAGATCTTAGCAAAAAAGATTTTTCATAAAATATGTCTGTGCCAGCCCAACACTGACAGAAAGCCCCGAGAAGAACTGAAAAAGGCCAACTGTGTGTGAGTTAGACCACAGGGAATGAACCCCTCCAGATTACAGGCTACCAGGAGTATTCTGCAGGAGAGGAAGAAGTCATGGTTGACAAGAACCTTTTGTTTATTTTCTGTAATTCAATCGAGCAATTTTTTCACGCCACTACTTGATGTATTTCCAAACCACTGAGGACATTAGGAACCCATTAAATGCAAGCATTGTTTTGAATTGGTAATTTTTGAGTTATCCCAGCTGTATTGTCTGCATTTGCAGAGTCACCAGCTGATCAATTTTGTGGCCTGCCCTACACCCCAGCAAAGGAGAATGACACCTGGGCAGGTCATGGCTGCTGATGAATTATTTTAACCTTGTTTATCATCACTCCTTCACTTTGCATAATTCTCTGTCACCTAAATGTGTGTGGAGGGAAGTAAAATATCAGAGAGGAAAGGAGGGATGAAGTGAAATGTGATTAGAAGACAGATGACAGAAAGAAGCCTTCAACACTCACCAGTGGTGTCCAGCCAGCATTATCTTTGACATTGGGATCTGCCCCGTTTTTCAGCAGCTCCTCCACAGCTGCCAAGTCACCCTACACAGGATAAAAAAAAACAGACTTATGAAAAAGTAATGAAGAAAACACATAGATACAAAACAATTATAAATTTAGCTGCAATAAAAATGTTATAATATAAGCCTTCCATGTAGATATTGTCAGGATAACAAAAGCTCAACTGACCTGGAGATCACAGTTAATCACTGCTGTTCATTTAGAACCACCCACACACTTTACACAAAGACATATTTCTAGATAAAAACTATGTGTGTAACAGAGTTCATTCAAAATAAATGGAAAAGTTTGAACAAATTGCAATCTGTCCACTACAGTCAAACTGCAAGGATTAAATTCAGGAACATTTACTGAGAATTTTCTCGTCCTTTAGACTGGATTTTTTTTCAAGTTAATCAAAATAACTGTCTGAAAACACAGGTGAAATAAATTAATAAGCCTGACAAGCTTCTAGAAATTGGTTTTCCACAAAAGGAAAAGAGTTTTATTTAACACTGCAATTACTACTTTAGGTTGAATCTCATTGACACTTTCTCTGACAGCGATCTACCAAAATAGTTTTAATTTGCTTTTTGGAAAAATGCTACACTCAGCTTTCACTGTAAGCAAGGAGGTGTGGAAAGGGTGGAAACTGAGCAGAGCCTAAGGAAAAGAGGCTGAATAGAGATGAGGCAAAGGCAGCAAAAGGGCAGAATTGGTGAATCAGAGGTTTTGACACCCTGAAAAACAAAGCTGGTAATAAGATTGGAGCATATCCAGATGCAGCTATAAATAGGTAAGGAGAAGGTGCCTGTGGAAGCTGAAGCAAGGAGATCTCTGCAGTGCAGGCCTCAATTCTTATAATTTTAGGCAAAATAAAGTATTTCAATACAACTGCAGACACTTTGCCTAGACCAGGGTATTGAGATCCCAAATGAAGAGACTATTAAAGTGGTATGTAGCTCTTGCCAGGGCTAAATATACAATATAAAAAAAGATCTGAAAGAGAGAAATTTAATCCATGATATGCACCAAGTTCAATGCCTTTAAGTAATGGGAAGTCAAGGAATTTCAAGCAAGCCTTGGAAAAGGCGAGAGAATATTATATTAAGCTTTAAATACAATAAAAACAAATTAATCCGATTTTGCTACCAAGAAACTCTTTGAAAAAACAAAATAGCTTTAATCTTTACTCTAAGTTAGAAAAAATATTAAGACAGACTGCTCTGCAAAAATAAATCCAGCAAGCAACAACTGTAAACTCAAAACTCACCAAAATAAATGCTGAGACTCGCTGGCTTTACAACCATCAAGCAAATGAACACATCAGAGATAAATTTCATGCATTATATTCACAATCTGGATGTCCCAGCAAAATGTTACCTTTCAAAGCAATTAAAGGCTTCTAGCAGCAGCATATTCTTTATGGTTGCAAGGTAACAGACATAGATCAAGCCTGAGGAGTTCTTCAGAGGCAGCTCAGCATTAAGACACAGAGAACACACAATTATCTATAATGAGCGAGAGCTGAGCTGATCATTTAAAGTTCAGTTTGCAAACATGCACTGCAAAGGGTTTGACATTTCAGGAGTACTGCTTTAAAGCAGGAAGCACAGCTAATAATTTGTGTGGGCATCAGATACTATCACAGCTTTTCACATCAGTTATGTGAGCACTGATTTGTAAAACATCAAAGGAAATGTTGCTGGTGTGGACACCACGACTGACAACATCCCCCGACTTAAATCCAGGCCCATGTCAAAATTAGGAAATTGCTGTTTTGCTGCTTAACAGAAGATAAATATTGTCATCATGTCATCTGTAAATGGAACCTGCTCCCTACAAGCAGCACAGAGCACTGAGAGTGACAGCAAGGAGGGAAAGCTGTCATGGGCTGTGCAGTGACTGGATGGGGGCTGCCAGTCAGGATTACTAGAGAGGTGTTAACAAACCAGAGCCAGGAGAATGGGCCTTTGTGTCCTCAGAGGCTCCTCCCTCAGCCACCAGAAGGTGAACATTTAGCTTCAAAAAGCAGAAGACTAAATTCCAAGTGGCAGATCATTCATAGACATGTTATCAAGCAGGACCACAATCACAGAATCATTTTGGCTGGAAAAAACCTGTAAGATCATCAAATCCAACCATAGTACCTCTGACATTTGCCTGCATCTTCCAGAGGCTGATGACAAGTCAAGCCAAATAATTGTGATCCAATACTAAAAAAAAATGGCTTGGTTGTTTTTTACATTGGCCACTTCTATCAAAATTGATGGAATTACTAACATTTATAAGCTAATAAATGCTTTGCTAAACTCTCAAGAGTAAGAAGCACAGAGGTGCAAATCCAGACACAAACATGTCAATGCCAGGTCTGCCCTCCACAAGAGAGCAGAAGAAATTTACACCCATTAGTATGGAATGATTATGGTTGGAAAAGACCTCTAAGATCATCAAATTCAACCACAGGTGCCTCTGACATTTGCCTGCATCTTCCAGAGGCTGATGACAAGTCAAGTCAAATAACTGTGATCAAAGAGTAAAAAAAATGGCTTGGTTGTTTTTTACACTGGCCACTTCTGTCCAAGTTGATGGAATCACTAACACTTATAAGCTAATAAATTCTTTGCTAAACTTTAAACAAGAATAAGAAGCACAGAGGTGCAAATCCCAGACACAAATATGTCAATGCCAGGTCTGCCCTCCACAAAAGAGCAGAAAAAATTTACACCTATTAGTATGGAATGATTATGGTTGGAAAAGACCTAGAAGATCATCATTATGGTTGGAAAAGACCTATAAGATCATCAAATCCAACCCTAGTGCCTCTGACATTTGCCTGCATCTTCCAGAGGCTGATACCAGGTTCAGATGACAAGTCAAGCCAAATAACTGTGATCAAGAGTCAAAAAAAGTGGCTTGGTTGTTTTTTACACTGGCCACTTCTATCAAAATTGATGGAATTACTAACATTTATAAGCTAATAAATGCTTTGCTAAACTCTTAAACAAGAGTAAGGAGCACAGAGGTGCAAATCCCAGACACAAATATGTCAATGCCAGGTCTGCCCTCCACAAGAGAGCAGAAGAAACTACACCTAGCAGTATGGAATGACTAATTCCAGCATGCTGCATAAAGATGTGCTTTGACTAATGCTGAAATTAATTTTGCACATTGAGTTCCTTGAGTATACTGGATGCAGCAGGAAAATCACCAGGCTGCACCAAGAAGCCAGAACCAGGGGACACAAGGAGAGACCCTCTTGGCAGAGGGGACACGTTAAGTGGAGACACTTCTTGCTCAGAAAGGGAGAACAAGGAAACAGCAGGTAGAGAAATGCTCCTACCGTTAAGAATTCCCAGGCACGTGTTTATTTTGAAATCTAATTATCAATGAAGGATTACATCCAGCTCTTGAAAAGGCAGGAGCTCGTGCAGAATGCAGAATTATCCATTCGGAACAAACCAAGCTGAGGACATTTCACGCTCACAACAAAGCCCAGCTGTAGTGACAAGGCAGCAAAGGCTCGGCTTTGCTCCTCCTCGGCACCGCAGCTCCCGGGGAAGCAGGCAAGGCGCTGGGGCCATCTGTTGGCAGTAGGTGAGACAGAGAGGAGCATTTACAGGCCTTTAGCACTTCCTCCGCCCAAGCAGAATTTAGTTCCTGCAGCCACGGCTGGCATCAGACCAGAAAACCATCTCTACCTGGCTCACACAAGCTTGCTGGAGGCTTTTTTCCCTTCTCCCTCAAGTCCTGAATTTAATACATATGGTTAAGAACTGCAAGTGTCCTTTTAATCGTGTTTTACAGGGGGTTTTTCCTCATTTTGCCCTTTACAACTTCCATTAATCAAGGTATTTTTCACCAAAAAGTCAAATTACTAAATAAATGGAAAACATATATTCTACCAGTTAATGAGAGAGATCCAATGAATTAGGACAGCACATGAAGACAAAGTTAAAAAGCTGCACTCCTTCAACCAAATAGTTCTTCTTTTATTTACAAATTTAAGCAAGCAACTTCAATCTTTAGGTCAAACAAACGCACCAAAAAGTCCCCATTTCAAAAACAATGCCATTTGCTTGTTTAAACTATGGAGGAATAGATTATCATAAATGGAACTAGATTATCGTGGTTATCATAAAATGGTTAAATGGTTATCATAAATGGAACTATGGATTATCATAAATGGAACAAGATTATCATGGTTATCATGAATGGAACTAGATTATCATGGTTATCTAAAATGGTTAAATGGTTATCATAAATGGAACTGTGGATTATCAGAACTGGAACTAGATTATCATGGCTATTATAAAATGGTTAAATGGTTATCATAAATGGAATATGGATTATCAGAACTGGAACTAGTTTATCACAACTCATAAATGGTCAAGGAGGACAAATATGAATTAAAGTGCTTATATGAATTGTGAATTCTTTCCAGGATCCTGCAAGTTTCTCACCTGAAAATCCTCCAAATGAATTCCCTACACAGCAGACCATTCCCTAATAACAAACATACAAGAAGCTGTGCTTACCCTTTAATAAAGAGAAACATGCAAGAAGTTACCCAGCCTCAGAAACAAGACAAGTGACAAGCAAGCATTATTGAAAAAGAAATGGTCATTTGCTTCCAGGTTTCCAAATCAGCACTTGGGAAGATGGATTGCTTTGACTCAGGGCCAATATTTTCAAGTGCTGCATTTGAAACCATTGCATTATTTTATATTTGCCTTGACCTCCCTCCTCCAGGAGGGGAGATGTTCATCTGTGACCCATCTCCCAACCATGACACACACAGATCCAGTCCCAAAGGCAAGGAAGTGCACAGCTGATAGCTCAGACACCTGAAAACAAGATTTAAAAGCCATCCTGCTGTTTGCCATCACATGCTCACACAAGCACACCACCGTGTCTGCTCTCCTTCCTGATGTGTCATGAACTGGTACCAAAGCAATAAAGGGGCACTCTCACAGGCTCAGGAGGAATTATCTTAGTTATTTTACTGGGTTAATTATAATGACCATGCAGAGTCCAGCACAGCAGGCTAGCCATGGGTGAAACCTTTCTGTGAGTCCTTCTGAGAGTGCAAGGAGGGAAAGCTGTCATGAGCTGAGAAAACTAAAGGGCTCCTGGAACAGCAGATAACCAAAACTGGTCCAAATACAGCACCTCTCTCTCCAAACTCAGCAGATGCTCTGCACAGAGGCAAATTCTTCCTCAGAGGGAGGAGAACTCCTTATTTCCTCCTACCTTGAGGCACCAGGAGCTTTCTCCCAGCTATTTCCCATCCACTCCTTGTAACAGCATGGCTGTGCTGAGGTCCCCTGTCACCCTCTGGTGTTGCAGCTCACTGTCCCTCTCCCTGAGTGGCACAATTTGCCCCATCCCTTCCCTGAGCACAGCAGGAGAAGCACAGGCAGCACCCAGAGCTGAAAGGGAGTGCCCAGGCACTGGGGGGTTGTTGTCATCTTATCACAGGGGTTCCACACTGCTGTCTCCTTATCACAAAGGTTTCACACCTTCTTGGAGTTTCTCATGGGCAGCTCTCAGAGCACTGACTCTTCTTCCCAAAGCAGCCACTGTCTCCAGTTCCCTTCCCAAGCAGCCACCTCACTCTTTATCTACTCTCAACTCCACTCTTCTGCTCACTGGTTACAGCTGTGCCCTGTTAAAGTCAGGCCTGCTCCTCATCTTTGATAATCTCCTTAGGGGTAAGATTACTCTCTACACTATCTTTATTTTCTTATATTCTATCCCCCTACAGGAGGTTCCTCTCTCCACAGCAGATTTGGGACTCTGCACTCACTCCTTCAGTCCTGAATCTTTAATTGCCATGGAAGAGCTGGTCCTGGAACAACTGTAAAAAATAGTCCCATGTGGGAGGGCTGTTGTGATGGGGCAATTTCCCATTAGTTCAGAATATTCAGAGTTGAATAGGTCACATTTTGTATTTTAATTAAGTGGATTTTCCTCTTTAATGAGTATGAAGATAAATGTGAGTGCTGGTTGCTACAGGAAGAGTCACATTTATTTTCATTTTTATTTTCATTTATTAGTTTAACTCAACATTAAGCTCATCCACACTAGAGCCTTTCTTGAGAACCATTTTGATTTCAGTGAAAATCATAACTACTAGTAGTAGTAGTAAATGGGGATAATCCTTCAGAATCATTATGAACAGCACAACACTAAGTCTTCATGCCTGCTAACCTTGTTTATGATCTCTTTTAAATAAGAAAAAAAGGGATAATTCAATTAGCTTTAATTAAATTCTGGGTATTAGACCCTAACAGCTAATGCAAATGATACAGATTTGTTTTTATAACTAATGAAGCCCCAGAGATTTAGACTTCATTTTACTTTGGGGTAGGGTGGCAGCTACAAGTCTGTTTCCCTTTACACACGTGGAAAAACATTACTGGCTGTGAAAACAACAGCAACAAAAAATTGCCCATAAAATCACACTGGAAGAGAAACATTTCTTTCAGGAAAAAAAATTCTCAACTAATTTGAGGGAAAAAAAAAAATCCACACCAGCAACCCAAACCCAAACCAACAAATCAAAACCCCACACTGAAAACACACAAAGAGGATAAAGCCTGGTATTTTCAAGACCAGTTGGACACAATACTTTTATCAGTTCATAGAGGGCTCCTGCAAGTTAAAAGATCATAACCAAGGGATCACTTTCCTTGTGTTATTTTAGTTCCTTTTCAAAGGAAACACTGGGATCACCCTGCAGCCCTACCTAGCCACACAAGGCTTTGCTAATGAGCACCTCAATGAGGATGGAGCTGCTGGATAAAAACCTCAGCAGAGCTAATGAGGAACAGAAGCCATTTCCCACTTTAGCTCAATAATTATAAACATCAAAAGACAACAGAGAAAGGAACTCACACACAGGACTGGAAAAGCCCATCCCACTGCCCACACTCCAGCTGGAAATCAGCTTTTTTTTGGCTGCACCAATGCCAGTGAGGAATGCCAGCAACACCACTGAACTTCAATAATCAAAACATGTTTATCATCCTTTCTGTCTACAGCATGAACTGCCTAATTTTTCATTTATCACCAAAATGCTTTGCAATGAAACCTTACTGGCACATCACCACCATGCCAATACTCCAAGTCTCCACAAGCTGCAGGGATGCTGTTTCCTTAGATGAAATACCTGTGCTCCAAAGGAGCACCATGCACATTGCTGCAAACCATACCTGTGTGAAATCTTGTCAGGGCAGACCCATTTTTTCAGAACCAGTCACTCATGACTGCATTCATTACAAATTCTCAGGAAATCATGGAAGGGTAATTTGTAAACAGTGTTTTAATAAAGAGGAATATGCAGGACTTATGACAAGAGGTAACAAGAGATCTCTCCCTCAAAGCTCTTGAGTCCTGTGAGGACAGCATTTCATTTTCTCCTCCCTAATTCCATATTAATGACATCAAATATGAGATTTGAACTCAGCTCAGCTGACACTTCCATTTAGAAAGGTCTCCTGCAGCAGGAGTGGCTTATTAGAATGCCTTTGGAAGAGGACAGAGTTATTTATCAAGAACAGCCTCTGTCTCAGCAGCCAGAAGTGCTGTATAAATGTCAGGTGCTTAGAGAGGAATCAATTCTTCGGTATATGCAGTTTATTAACCACCCAGCATTTGTGTTATATGATTTAACACAAAGTACATTTAAATTGCCAGAGCACAAACCCTTTGAAATGACCTCAGAAGGGAGCTGCCATGAGTCCACCTGATGAGTGGGACATGTTTTACAAAGTAATGAGCAAGGACAACCCCTGAAAAGAGCAAAGCCATGAAGTTCTACCACACCAGGAACTGGTTAAGATGTTAACAGCATAATGAGTGATAGCTGTCATTCCAAGAATAATATTGAGCTTACATAAAACTGAGAACACCCCAATTCTTGTCCTTTCCCTTCAGAGCATAGGGCTCAGCATAGGAATCACATTTGCATCAGGTGGATCTCAACACTTATATAATGTTAACCAATGTTCCACAGAGTTATTCCCATGTACGTAACTCAGAGCTTGTCCTGCCTGAGTTACCAGCTCAGACTGAACTGATCAAGGTCACTCTGAGATCTGAAATACTTCCTAAACTCCTTGTGACAAATCAGAGACAGCTTCCTGGCACACAAGGCCAAAACATTTAAATGCTTATCACTTCCTAAAACTCACAGGTATAACTGACACTGTAACACTGAGTTTCCAACTACAATCATCTTTGATCATTCAAACAGTCATTTCTTGATGAAATCAGAGAATCAGGTTGGAAACTTCCCAATAAATCTAGAATGAGATTTCCCTCCCAAAAATAGAATATTCTGAAGTAATTGGTTTCCAGAATATTTTTAAAACAACCTTGTCTTTTTAAAACTCTGCTTAAAGCTGAACTATCACAGGTATAACTGACACTGTAATGCTTTGAGTTTCCAACTACAATCATCTTTGATCATTCAGTCATTTCTTGATGAAATCAGAGAATCAGGTTGGAAATGTCTCAGTAAACCTAGAGTGAGATTTCCCTCCCTGAAACAGGATGTTCTGAAGTAACTGGTTTCCAGAATATTTTTAAAACAACATTTTAAAAACATCTGCTTAAAGCTGAGCTAGAAGATGAAGGTCCTACCTTGATGGAAGCAACATGGAGCAAAGTCTCTCCCTTGTAATTCCTTCTGGCAATGGAGTTGACACCAGGGGATTTCACCACAGAAGGACTGAGTGGGGTTGCTCCTTGACTGCAACTCTTGGAAGTGGAAGGGGTAGAGGGAGACTCTGAAAGTGAAGGACTGTTAGTGGCTTGAAGGGCTGCAGATCTTCTTGTCTTCATTCCAGTGTCAGTGAGTTTGGATGCAGAGGAGGAAACGTGGACTGGTGTCAGTTCAGCGGCTGGGGAGATGGGGGAGCCCTGCAGAGACTCCTGTGAGCCGTCAGCCTGCCTGTTCCCAGGAATGCCCCTCTCACTTCTCCTGGCTCTCTTGGACTGAGGAGTCCCCTGCAGCCTGGACTGCTCCCTGCCACGTTTCAAGGGTGTAACTTCACTTGCTGCTGCCAGCAATGCCTCTGCAGCACCCTGTGTTCCCTTGCTCTCTGGTGCAGGGCACACAACCTCACTGTTATCTTTCTTTGGGGATTCCACCTGTGGTACAACTTCCGTATTTTCTGCATTCCTGCTGGAGGCAGCTTCCTTGACAGGCTCCTGCTGAGGGCTGTGCTCAGGACTCTCTGGTTCCTGAGTGCACAGCACTACTGGCTGACTGCAGATGGTCACACACTTTTCCTTGGGAGCCTTCTCAGCTTTCTTCTGCTCAGGTTTCTCTAAGCTCCACACTTTGTTAATGTCTGCTAGGTGCTTCTTCTTCATCTTCTTAATCTGCCTCTGAGTTGGTTTTTTTGTTGGCTTAGAGGGCTTTTCATGAGGAGGGGAAGGAAAGAAATCATAAACTGAAGCTGTGTCTTGAGCAAGGTTAGTGCTTTTAGTGCCAGCCTGACTCCTGTTCACAACACATCGAATCTTCCTGCTCCTGGGGCTGAACCACATTTTGATCTGCTCCTTCTTGCTCTTCTTCTGCAACTCTGACTCAGGGGGTGTGGATGGATCCTCTGCTGAACCTAAGTGCATGAGCAAAGGGGAAAAATAATTATGGAGTACTCTTCAGAACCTCACAAAGCAAAAAAAAATCATAACAACAACTGCAAGAAGTGATGAAGTGTTACTAAATACAACCTATGAGTGCCTTCATCTCTTCTGAGAAGGCACATGTGGGGACTTTAAAAGCCCTGGCAAGGTGACACTCCTGAGATGTCACACACAGTGACTTTAAAAGCCCTGGCCAGGCCACATGCCACTCTGGAGCTCAGAGATCCAACAGGCCAATGAGCATCCTGGCAAATAAATTCCTCCAGCAGTCTGAGTTCACAGCACAGCAGAGTTCTGAGCAGGTCAGAAAAGGATAAAAGTTGGTTTTCTCACTGAGTTTTCCTTGGAAATAGGGTTGACAAAGAGGCACGTGCATACACAAAACAGCACAGAAACAATTTTCTAAAGAGGTATTAGAGTTCATCCAAAGATGGAAAGGGAAAATAGATGTAAGCAAGCAAAACCAATGTCCTTATAAAAATGTCAAACATTCCTGAAAAACTTTGACTGATTCCACAGATATAGCAGATGAAGCAGAGGAATATATATAGAAAATCTGTAAGCAATTGTGTCCTGTCATTTGATCCTCTACCCCTGGGTAGTAAATAACTTCAAGGAAGTTAAGCATTTTGATGACCTCAAACATTCCTTTAAAAAGATGCAGTGGAGCAATTTTATAAATCACATCATACAGCACATTACAAATCAATGAGCAGGATGATGCAGGAATATCCTGTACCCCCAGCACATGAAATAACAGTTGAGAACAAGGACTGAGCACATAAATACTGTCTTCAATGGCCTAAGAATAAATTAAGAAGTGTAAAGTGACCTCAAAGTTAGACACTAATTTAATTTTACCTTTTTTTTTGACACAAAAGAACCATAGCAGATTTTTTACCAATTCCTTCATTCTGAACTGGTGTTATTTTAGGTTATTTGGACAAAGTAAATGCACAACTCATTCTTCCTGTTGCCTCAAACTTCAGGGACTACTACTCACAAAAGTCTTGGTGATTTATAACAACCAAACATAAAACCAATATGAATTTTGTTTTGAAGCAGCACTAAGACCAAGATTAGAAGGGAGGGGAGGGTTTTAAGTATTCTTAAAATAAGCAATATAAAGTCTCAATTATTAAAAGTGACAGACACTCACTGCAACAATCTATCACTTGCACTTCAGTGCATGAAGTTTCCATGGCTAATTTATTATCTCCACACTTTCTATTTTTGGTGTTAGTAACTACAGCCAGTTTTTCACAGCAAGCTGGGATAAACTCATGGCAACAAACACACTGGTTCCAATCCCTTAGTCACAAAAAAGTGCTTTTGAAACTCCACTTAAAAGAGAACTGTGCAGCTAGTAATTCAACACTAAAACAGGCATTCACAGTTGTGTTTTAAAGCAATATTGCAAAGTTAAATGTTTCCTTAATCTTGATTTCAATTACCCTACTTACCCCTGGAATTAAATCCTGTTACATATTAGATTCAGCCAGAGGAATATGAAAGCCATCAGACCAAAAGTGTCATTAAGAATACAGCTGGAGGCTAGTTAATCATTTAGCCATCTAAAGTTAATCATCAAGTACACAACTGCAGCTTTTTGGTTTTCCTCTAAGGCTGGGCTGGTACAAACAAGAGAAAAAGCGCTGAAATTGAGACTGAAATCTCAGAACTAGCTAGCCTTGAGAACACATCCACTCTCATTCTGCCAATAACATCTAAAAAAAGGAAGAGCTTGATTGCAAACAGATGCAAAATATAAAACACAAGTGACTACTTTCTCATCTTGCCAGTGTTTACACAAAGTAGCAGATCTCCTTGTCAAATATTTACCTTGCTAAAAGAATCAGTCATCCCCAAGTAGAGAGAAATAAAATCAGCTTGCAGAAGTCATTTGTGCAACAATTTTATGATGGCCAGAATTCTTTTTGATGTGTGTAGCACAGCAAGACTTTAAAGTGCAAGTGACAAATTCAATCAAAGGCAGTGTCCTTCAGAAGTATGATCACAATGCAGCATTTACACTGCCTGTACCACTTGTGGCAGCAGGAAAGCCTGTGAAAAATCCACCACCAGGCTTCCTGCACTGATCTGCTCATTGCTGGTTGCTCAGCAGGGATTTACCAGTCAGGTTATTAAAAACCTGCTGCAAACATAACATGCTAAATAAATACTTGCCAAGGAGTGTTTTTCATGTTCTAAAACAGAGAAGCACTCAGGGGACATGATTAGAAGATGACAAAGAGATGCACCCACCCAGAGGCCAGCCCTGCACACCCAGGGCAGGAAATTGCATTTTCTGCTACCCCTTCCTCCATTTCCAAAGTGTACAAGGTACAAGCAAGGTCCAAGTTGCCCAAGCAACTTGGACAAATGGCCAATTTGCCTCCCCTGAAAAATCAAACCTTTTGATGGACCCAGAGCTGTGAGAGGGAGAAATAAAGAGGGGAGATGCAGAGCCAAGAAGCTGAAAGGAAGTTCTTATCATTTAATAAGTAAATGTTAATTTATATAAAGAGGGTATTATCTGGTAGCTAAGTTCATTCAGTTAAAGGACCTTCAGAGAAAATTGCTCACAATAAAATCAATCACAATGAATTCTCTGCTGTCTCTGTGTTTGAAGCCAGAGCTTGGATTTTAACAGAATTGAAAAAAATTACTATTATGATTTTGATTTAATTGTCTTTTTAATACATAAGTGTCCTCACAAAAATTTTCAGAGAGGCATTTAGACAAGGTAAATCAGTGGAGCATTCCTTACTAATTCTAGATTTTCACCATCTGCAATAGCATAAAGAGCATCCACAATAACAGTATTAGAATCAGCCTACAATAAATGCAATAAATTTAATCTCCATTACCTATTAAATGTAACATTCAGATACACAATGTAGTAACTGAATTATTTCTAATTTAGAGTTAATAAGCACAAGTTTCTCAATGCTGGCATTTAATAGAGTTGGATTTCTTAAGTGTTAAAAGGGTTGAGAGTACACAAAAATACCAGGAGATGGTCAGTGCCTTGCAACCAGAGCTCCAAGTTCTGCTGCAGTGCAATAGCAGGCTGGTGCAGGGGGGAAAAGGAGCAATTAGAGAATGTGGTTTAGCTATCAATAATCTGCATCAAAGGAAAATAATGATGCACATTGTGTGCCTTTCCAATTATTCTCTATTATGGGTTTCAGACCAGAAGTTGAGAAATCTCTTTGACAAACTAGTCCCTTATTAAAAACCAAAGGGAAGAGCTTTGGTACCATCTGTGCAACATCAGTGCCTTCACTGAAGAGTGATCATTTTGCAAGTTAAGTATTCAACACCGAAGGGGAAAGGGAGAAATTCCAGCTATTCAAAACTTAATCTTTAGATGCCATGAAAAATGTCCCAGCAGCCATGAAATGCAATGTCATCTGTTACAACAGGAGTTCCACACCCAGTAAATGTGAAACAGAGTCAGGATAATACAAAGGCTGATTGATCTCACTGACTGTCCATCAGCATCGGCTGGGGAAGCTTTGACCAATTCCTGCAAGGTGTAGCTGTGAAGGAGAAGGAGGAAGGCTTTCTGTTTGATGTGTAAAAGTGAAGCAGATTGCTACAAAGAATAAGGTGAAATCAACTATAACTGATGATGGTGATGGTTCTGAAAATTTAAAAGAATCCCTTCTTTTTAAAGAATATTACACAGAAAATTATTTAGAACTTCTCTTTCAAAATGTAAAATCGCTGTAAATCAACAAATCTAGTGTTTTATGTGCACTATGCCCATGGTTCCACAAATTCTCAGGGATTACCCACCCATGAAGCCCATCATCCCACCAGTGTCAGTTCCCAACATGCTTTGGACACATCAACATCAGAGCTGAAGGGTTTGAGTGCAGCCATCCTACCTGTGGTGCCTGCAGGCAGCTTTTCCCTTCACCCTTAGGAAGGTACAGCACAGGCAGCCAAAAATTCAGGCACCTCTCCTCATCTTGCCAGGGACTAGGCACAAAAAACCTCCAACAAGTGAATTCATTTGGAGGCTCATCATTTCCTACCTATAGCTTGAATTTTCCACCTAGAATTTGCATTTTCCAGCCAGTTTCAGGTTTGTTTGTCAATTCATCTTCAGTCACCCCAGGAGTGTCATTGGCTGTGTTTCCCTCTAATTTAAAAGGGAAGTATTAGCTGTTTTGTGCAGTCTTTCCTGAATTATTTGCTGCTGCTCCTCACAATGCACATGCTGTTTGGCAGAAGCTATTTTTATCCCAATGGAATACAAAGTGAGATCCCTCTCATGTCTACTGTGGAACCTCAGGGTAAAGGGATTTTTGTATTTGAAATATTCAGTGTGAGCTTAACCCTATCCTTTGCAGTCACAGCACTTCCATGGGGTTTTTTAAAAGAAAAATACACAACTCAAGGCATGCACTAGCTCTGTCAGAGACAAAAAAAAGTTACTAGCAGGATGCACTTAGAAATTTCAGTGTCAACAAGGATCTCCAACAAGATTCAAGAGAAGCCACACCTGTCTCAAAACAAGCAAATGTGCAAAAGGGACATAAAACATAAATATATTTATGTTTTTTGAAAATACTATTATATTATTATGAAAATAATAAATATTATTTTCAACTGCTTCTCTTCCTTTCCTGCACTGTAAGATTGATTTTTCAGTCTACTTCCTTTAGTGGAACATGAAGTACAATTTCTGACTTTCTGACATAAAAGAAAAGAAAATATTGTTGACAGAAGTACAGTGCTGTAAGAACATGAAAGCAAGTCCTTAACAAGAGAAGAGAAGCCATGATTCTCCAACCTCAAACATATTTCTCTTTGGATACATTAAGTTCAAGGCAGAACTTCATGGATCCAGACATCTATGGGAGGTGAGGGCCAAAACATCCTGAAGAATTTGCTCTCAAAAAATCTCTAAAGCTGCAATATCCTATGATTTTCACCCATATTTTTTTCCCTAGTATATAATTGGCTGTTCTTAGAGGTGTGCTCATTTATTTATCAATTCAGGCCATTCCTGACAGTGAACTATTACAGCTGGGGAGGATTTTCTCCTACCCTCAGTATCCCACATCCCAAAGGCCACTGTGCTAATCCTTGGCATGCTGCAAAGATTCCAAGTGACAGAAAGGCATCTCCCAAATCATTTCTAGAAAACACTCTTGTAAACTTCTGCTTTGTGTCTGCTTTTAAGTCAGAACAAGGGATGATAAAAAAAACCTCATTTAGTTCTGTGGCCCAGCCACACCACACACACTTCATTTTAGAAGAACTATGGGATTAAGTGCACTATTTAATTTTTAGTACAGTTAAGCATCAGACCAATTTTTAAGAGTTAATCCATCTCTAAGAGCTCTCCAAAACATCTAAACATTATCAATAATGCTACCATGTTGCATTTTAAATGGTTTATTTATAGCATCACAAACAGTTCCTCTCAGAATGATTCTCTTCCAAGTGTGCTTTTAAAAGCCTTCATCACTAAAAATGTTTCCCTGAAATCCTGTTTAGGCCATCATCTGTTTTCTATGCTCCAGAAGATTTAATCACCATAGGATTTTATACCTATATAAAATGTATTCCTTTACACTTGGACACAGGCTGCCAGCCTCATCACTTAAAATCCATTTTGGTGTCAATAAAGAGATATTCCATAAATGAGTGAAGGTGCTGATGGGATTGCACACAGAAAAGGAATCTTTAACTTAGACAAACATATTAGAAAGCAACAATGAAGGAAGAATTACCTATTCTGTATCTGACAAGTAAATGAATGTTTTTTAAAACTTGGTATTACATAAACGCTCCTCCCTGGGCTTGCAGAAGAAACACACAGTCACCTATGTTTATTTCACTACACTTTCTCCTACTTTGACAAACAACCTAAAATTTGATAGAGATTCATTCCCAGAGTACATTCCCTGCAATCTCCTAGCACAGTCAGCAACGACAAAACTTCACTGCAGCAGATTAGCTGATTGTTAGGGACCAGAAAACAAATGAGTTAAGACTTGCTTCTTTCCCCTTTTTAGGCAAAGAACACAGATCATTTTTCCCACGTGCAAAAACCCTGAACTGAAAATTACTGGGACAGCAGGCACAGCTCAGTCAGTGCACAGCAACCCAGAGGCAGGAGAAGACATGCATGAATTCTTTAATGTAGAACTTTACACACAGGGGCTCCCATAAGATATGGCAACCTGTGCCCCATGACTCAGCAATCTCTCCCACCTTCATCTCATTTTGGAAAACTGATTCTAATGAATTATGGACTAACCCACTCACGCTGATTTCCTACTAAAACAGAGTCAAAGAACGAGCAATCCACACAGACAGCTCTCTTCAAATCACATTTCCCAAACTTCCGATTTGGAGCAGCCGCAGGGAATTTGAAGCAGGGCTGCACTGCTCATTTGCTGGACAATGAAAGGGGGTGTTCTGGAGCGTGCAGCCCCAGGGTGAGCCTCACCTGAGCTGTGGGCGCTCAGCAGCTGCCGCAGCTTGCTGCACAGCTGGATCATGTTATCCAGCTGCCGGTTGATCTGCGCGTCCTGCACCCAGGCTGGCACGTGGCACACGGGGCACCCGCTGCCAACGCTGTCACCCACGCAGCACCTGCAAGGCAAAGGGAGAAGCCATCAGCCAGGGGAGTCACCCACGGCACCCACGCCACAATCTCTTACTGGGGCATTGTAGGAAAGCTCACACGAGTTAGTCACAAACACAGGACACATTTACCATGGCTGAACGTAAAATCAAGCAGCCCACTTCCCAAGCCTTGTCAGGACAGCCATGAAAAAGCAGTGCCTCATAAAGTGACCCAAATTTTCAAATGCTCCACTGCTGTTTGACTCCAGGTAACAATCAGGCTTCACTCTTAAAACCACAAATTCTTCTACATGTGGTGTTCTGCAGCCTTCCATTTTCAACTAGTGCCAGAAAGCCAACCCATAGTAAACTATTTCCACTTTCTCCTAGTTAAAATTTGCTTGGTGCTGTGAAGAACTTTCACCTGTGTGAACACTTCCCACGAGGATCTCCAGGTGCTCAGAGTATTTTATCACTGCTCTTTCCCAGCATTTATGCCAGATCATCGTGGTGGGATAGGTGGGGAAACAGATTTACTCACTAATGCTACTCTCCCCAAAGCAGCCTAAAATCTGTTATTCTTTGATCAGGCAGTGAGAAGACCTTATGATTTGTCATCTGAACTGCAACATTCAAGGGTTATTTACATCCCATCTCCCATCTATCCTATTAAATAGAGGTTACAGTTCCACACAGCCAAAACTGAATCAGTTTGAACAGTCTCAGTGACCTGACCACTACTCATGGAAAAATTGCTGTTAGGTGTGTTTTGTGCTTTAAACAGGCAGAGGTCCTTGTGCCTGAGGCACTGCTGTGTTTGGCAGACGGAAGCACAGCTCTTGGCTCCAACATATCCTAGGTGATATTTGATAAATCCCTTGGGAGCAAAGGGAAGGGCCAACCAGATCTCCTTCTCTAGGGAAGCTGGCCTCAGGCTTCCCACCCCTGTAAATAGCACTGCAAAGGAAATGCAGAATGACCTTCACACCACAACATCTCTTAATTACCTGTTTTGTTGGGGTTTTGTAGTCAGCTGGTAATAACTGCACAGCTAGCAGGTAATGGTAATGAGTGCAGGTAACCTAGCACAGCTACCCCACCAAAACTGCAGAAACTGATCTTGATAAATACCCCAGTCCATGACAAACCCATGGTGAGGGAGAACCAGTTGTTGTACATGACCTGAGTACTGCAGTTCATTCGTTTCGGAAATTTCACTCCATATTTCAGGAGCCTCATACTCCCCAGGTATGTTAATCAATGTCTGTCCTCAGCAGTGAACCAGAATCAGCTCTAAACACTCAAACTTGACAGAAATTAAATCTTAACAGAACCTAAACCCGGTTACTTCAATGTAACAGAACTTCAACTTCACAGAACATAAACCTAACATCACGTAAATGTAACAAAACTAAAGTCAGAGCTGAGAGCGCTTCTTTAAAAGTTCCAGATCCAACAGAACTTAACTCATTTTTACTCCAGGGTTACATCATCAAAGGTACTGGAAATTTATATTTCAACAGTTAAACATCAATGGACAATATGCAGGCAGACAATTGAGTTGTAACTGAAATAGCAGCAACTTGGAACCACTGTAGAGATTATAAAGGTGTGGCAAATTCCATGTGGGTTCATGTAATTTAGTTTTGAGAATAGTCCAGAGTGGCTGCAAATATTATTGAAAATACCTAGTTTGCTTCTAAAGAAATTAATCTGAATTTCCTTAGGTTAAGTTTAAAAAATAGCCACTGCCCAAGACTCGGTCATCAAAGGACAGATGGAATTGCTGCTAAAAGGTCAGGGATAAAGGAGAGAAAAGATCAGGCACAACAATAACTCAGATAACAGCAAATAAACTCCTTTTTCTGGAGCAAGAAATAGCTGCTAATGAGTGCTTAAAACTCCTGTTAGCTGTTCTTTCCAGCCTCATCAATACAAACTGCATTGTCCTCTTGGTGTTTGGCAAATTCCTCTTGAAAAACCCCACAAAACTTTAACGAACAGGGGGCGATTGAAATCTATCACATAGATTACACAGAGGTTATCCAAAATAACACCACAAGGCCTTAGATGCCCAACAGCTGAACAATTACACTTATTAAACCACAAGTTCATGTTTATAAAAGTTTTTTACAAGTTTCTGGGGGTTATTTTACATAATGATCCGTAGGTATGTTGTATAAATGAAATAAATAATTTAAATAATTCCTTCAAACAGCAGAACCATAGAATGGTTCCAGCTGGGAGGGACCTTAAGGCCCATCTCATTCCACCTCCAGCCATGGGCAGGGACTTCCCACTATCCCAGGGTGCTCCAAGCCCTGTCCAGCCTGGCCTTGGACACTTCCAGGGGCAGCCACAGCTGCTCTGGGCACCCTGTGCCTCTCCACCCTCACAGGGAAGAATTTCTTCCCAATATCCAAAGTAAACCTGTTCTCTTTCAGCATGAGGCCATTCCCTTAATCCTATCCCTATGTGCCCTTGTAAAAGGCCCCTCTTCAAGAGCCTTCTACAGCAATCAGTGGCCACAGCTGGGAAAAAAGACGTGTCTGGAGAGAAATAAATCACCTGTGCACCTTTTAGTACATGCATACTGGGAAAGAGATGCTGAGGGCACCTGTCCCACAATCAGGTACTCCTTAAAAAGCCAGTAAATATATTTTACTTGTATTTTACCTTTCAGGCCTTCCACACTGTAAACTCCTATTAGAAAAGTGCAGGTGAGGATAGGGAGTGGATACACATCCATGAGGGAGGGTGGGTTCCTTCACCTTTTACTGACATACTGACTTTAACAGGACATAAAGCTGAGTATCTATACTGGTTTACAAGTAGAGGTTAGACAGTATCTTTCTTCTTCACCCGAACAAAGGTAGGATTTCATCAGACTGCTTACAGACTCATTAAGATACACATCAGGTTTTTAACTCCCCGTGTTTGCATGTGCATGCCCTGAAGAGCAGTGACACTAACAGTGGCCAAAATATTCCCCAAAGGCTGCTCTGAGGCACAAATATTTCAGCCCCAGCCTGTATTGACAATGCAGTGAGTTGTCTCACAAGAGGCAACCTGATCACCACCACCTCAGAAGCGATTTGCTGGTAGAAAGTTTCTAATTAAAGTCAGTTTAAGTTAAAAGTTGAAGTTAAATTAAGTTCCGTTTTTTGAAGCACTCAGATTATTTGACCAGCTAAGCAGAGGTAACCCTGCCTACGCCAATGTTTGGATGTGTGTAAAACCAGCAACAGGCACAGCGGCGGAACTGAAGGAGCAAAGCCTTGGCAGAAGGCCAAACCAACAACAAGCACCACCCAGCCCTCAGGGGCAGAGGAAAACCCCCTCGGAAACAGGAAACACCTCTCCAAGCCGCTCTTTTTTCTTTATGTGAGGAGCAAGAGAAAGGAGTTGAGGGCGATGCGAACTGCAGGTTGTTTTGGATTTTTACCTCACTAAGGGCAGACAATTCCCTCCACCACACTGAAAGCTCCCTTCACAGCTGCCCAGCAGCATCCTGAAGCCTAAACCAGAATTTCTACATGAGACCCTCAGGGGAACAGCGGCTCCCGCTCTCCCGTCCCCCTCAGCTCCCCGGGAGGAGCAGCAGGCCCCAGCCGTGCCCATTCCCGGTCCTTTCCCACAGCACGGCGGCCGCCCCGGTACTTACAGGCAGAAGACGTGCTCGCACTGCCCCAGGGACACGGGCTCCCGCAGGACACCGGCGCTGTGGGCAGAGCAAGGAGAAAAGCGGCACTTTTAACACACACAGCAGGGGCTGTGGGGGAAGACAGGGTGGGGGGAAGGTGGAAGGAGGACGTCCATTACCAGCGGGAGCAGCTCAGTGCCTTCTCCAGCCGCCCCAGCGCGGCGCGGGTGTGGGACCAGGTGTGCCCGGGCGGCGCCATGGAGGGGGCAGCGGGGCGGAGGGGGCTGCCTGGGGCCGGCTGGTTACCCGAGCGTCCGCGCAGCGCCTCCCTCATCGCTCCCCTCACAGCGGTTCCCTCATCAGCTCCGACCCGAGCCCTTCCTCCCCTCAGCGCTTCCCGCCGCCACTCCGAATCCCCCGCCCGCCCCTTCTGCGCAGGCGCGGGGGCCGCGCGCGCGCTGCCCGCCCTCAGCGTTTCCCGCGCGCCGGGAGCGGGGCGGGGCCGCCCGTGAGGGAGGGCCGGGGAAATGGCGGGCCCGGCGAAATTCGGGGCGGAAAGCCGGGAGCACGGGGTGTGGCAGGAAAATTGGGTGTTAATGTCTTCACGTGCGGCTCCATGGGTGGGAGTCTGCAGTAATTACAGGGAAAATAGCCTGTTAATGTCCTCAGGATCGACTAGGTCTGAAAGAATAGCTCGACAGTCTTGACTGTCTTTTTGTCTCTACGAGCATCAAACTTGTTATAGTTTAAACTTCTGATCTTCAGGGTAATGGCAGAAATGCCTCCGCACAAGTCTCTTAACTCTACTTCAGAGTGTCTGAACTTCCCAACTCTAGTGGCAAATAACGATACAAGTTCAAACAGCTCGAAGCCATTTCCTCATATCACATCCCATCCCTGTCCCCTGTGTGAAAAACGCCAATCACTTGTTTTTAAAATTTTTAAAGTTTAATAGTAATAAAATGGTTATAAAAATAGTCATACAATTAGAGTAATAATAATTTGGACTATTTGGATTAGGACAATATGAGACAATAAAAACAAAGTGCTACGGACGTCCGGGTACCTCTTTCTGGGCAAAATAAGCCCGAAAAAGGACCCACATTAACAGAGGATTAACGCTTAGAAACAATAACCTGTTACATAGTCATACACCTCAGACATGATGCATAAATTCCATTCAAACACAGGATTCTGTCTGGTCAGTGTCAACTTCTTCCTCTGGATCCTAACAGTGTCATCGTGGCTGAGCAAGGTGGGAAGAAGTTTGTTTCTTCTGATAATGGAGCAATAAATTCTCTTTGTCTGAAAGATTCAGGTGTCCTGTGACTGCTATCTTGATCCGAGTCCTTTCTTTAGAAAAAAAGTATCCTAAATAGCATAGTTTCTATTTTAACATTTTGCTATAACCTAAAACTATATTTAACACACTACTGAAGAGAATAAATACAGCATTACTTTCTAACACAACACATATAATATTCATTTGAATATTTGCGAAAAGCCAATCATAAAATACGCATTTTTCACACCTGGGGACACAGCCTGACTCCCCAGCTGTCCCCTCCTGTCAGGAGTTGTGCAGAGCCACAAGGTCCCCCCTGAGCCTCCTTTTCTCCAGGCTGAGCCCCTTTGGAGCTCCTGGTGCTCCAGCCCCTTCCCAGCTCTGCTGCACTTCTGACCTGCTCCAGCCCCTCGACATCCGTGGTGTCCTGAAGTGCCTGGAGCCGGACACAGCACCCGAGGTGTGGCCTCAGCAGTGCCCAGCACTGGGGAAAAATCACCTCCCTGCTCCTGTGACTGCGCTATTCCTGATACAGGCCAGGTGCCATTGGCCTTCTTGCCTACCTGGGCTCATGTTCAGCCACTGCCTCTGGCACCTTTCCCAGCTTCCCAGCCTGGAGCTGCAGGGGGTTATCCTGGCCAAAGTGCAGGACACACTTTGCCTTCTTGAACCTCATGCTGTTGGCCTCTGCCCATCTAGATACCACAACAGCATCTGAACTGATCTCCTACCCAAACCTGATGCTCCTGTGTACGTCTTCCCAGTGTCTCTATATCTATAACAAACGTGTCTCTGAAAAATGTGTATTTTATGATTGGCTTTTTGCAAATGTTAAAATGAATATTAGACGTGTTATGTTACAAAGTTATGCTGTATTAATTCTCTTAAGTAGTGTGTTAAATTTAGTTTTAGATTATAACAAAATGTTAAAATAGAAACTAGGCTATATAGGATACTTTTTTTCCTAAAGAAAGGATTCGCATTGAGGTAGCAGCCACAGGACACCTAAATCTTTCAGAGAAAAAGAATTTATTGCTGCATTATCAGAACAAACTAAATTCTTCCACCTTGCTGAGCCATGAAGACTCTGTTAGGATTCAGAGGAAGAAGTTGACACTGACCAGACAGAATCCTGTGTTTGAATGGAATTTATGCATCATGTCTGAGGTGTATGACTATGCAACAGGTTATTGTTTTTAAGGGTTAATCCTCTGTTAACGTGGGTCCTTTTTTGGGCTTATTTTGCCCAGAAAAAGGTACCCGGATGTCCGTAACTCTTTGTTCTTATTGTCTCATATTGTCCTAATCCAAATAGTCCAAATTATTATTACTCTAATTGTATGACTATTTTTATAACCATTTTATTACTATTAAACTTTAAAAATTTTAAAAACAAGTGATTGGCATTTTTCACATGTCTGACACAGCATAAACATAAATATCAGGCAGAGATACCTTACCAGTTACAGTTATTTCAGCTTTCCAGGGTGGTTTTCCCTCGGCCTGTGTGTCTTGCAGCACCCCAGCCCAGTCTCCCACTTTTGCAGCTTGATGTTTTTTAGGTGGTACCTGCACAGAGATGCAGCCCCTGCCATCCCTCTACAGCGTAATTACTGGAGCACATAAAGTAGTTATAGCAGGAATTTATCACTTTCAGGTAGGAATACTCCTGGCCAAGTAAAAGATAGAGCAGGAATGCCAGGAGCAATTTATAACGGACTTACTGACATTTCACATGGAGAAGCTCCGCCAGTGAATAAGCATCAAGCCATAAATCTCGGAGAAAACGTGATTAAAGCGAGCAAGTTATTCTTGGAGGGAACTTCATCATAAAAGGACATGGCTGCAAAATTTGGTTTGTGACAATCATAGAAAACAGCCATCAGAGGGGTGTCCCAGCCATCTAGACAGAAGGAGTTCTGCCTAAATGGGTGCTAAATCAGGGCTGAAAGTATTTCTTAATAAGTTATTAATGTCTTCCAAGAGGGAAGTTCTACAGTTTCCAAGGGTCACACTCCTCTGCTTTTATAGCTTGAAATTGTGAATTTTCTACTTTTTTGTTTCTTTCTTTAGGGAAGGCCAAATATTTATCTTTTTTACTAATATGAGGCAGAGGTGCAGGGAAGTGGGCTCCACACAGGATGTGGAGTTGTGAAATCTCTCAGCACTTTGGAGAACATCTCCTGCTGTCATCTGGGTGCAGTGAGCTGCTGTGGGGCACAGCATCCTCCTCTCCTGTCTTGGAGGAGGGAGAGGGGCAGGCAGAGGTGCCCTGGGTGTGCTGCTCACAGAGGAGTTTGTCCCCAAGCCCTGCAAGCCAGGGGACTAGAGTTCCTTAAGAAAATAAGCGAAGAAAATAAGCTTAAGAAAATAAGAATAAGGCTTAAGAAAATAAGAATAAGAGTAAGGCTTAAGAAAATAAGCTAAGCCTGTCATTTTTCCCTTAAGAATGAAGAACTGCCAAGTGCAACCTTAACCACCTTAACCTTAACCTAGTCCCTGTTACTTGGCTCATCCTGTGCTCCAAAAACCCAGCTCCCAGCAGCTCCCTGTGCACCAGGGATCCTGAAAGATGGCAAAAGGCCTCACAGCTGAGATGAAACTTCAATGCAGTTTGAAGCATTTGGAGCAGGTTACAAACCACACTTGATCCATAGATCTCTTGAGCCAACCTGGCATTTATGTTCACAAAATATGAGATGCCGATATATAGTGTATAGCACAGTAAAGCAGATAAGTGCCTCCTCTTCCTTTCCTCCAGCTGAAATATGTTTAGTGCCTCTCTCAATAAATCCACAGATGCAATAGTTTCCATTGTGCTGAGACATTATGTGGGAATTTACAAACATTTACAACTAAGTTAAACTGAGGCAAAGCACTGCCCTGGGCAGCCTGCATCTAACAAATGCTTGCGTTCCAGAAAGATGTAAAAGTCAGAAATGATTCATTCTCCTTAATTTTATAAAGGTTAAGGAGCTGGCAGTCTTGGAAATCTAAGAAATGTCTTCTTCAGCAGTGAATTACTGCAACCAATTGGACAGTCAGAAGCAAAAAAAAAATGATGGGGGGGAACAGAGGAAAGGAAGAAATATAACTCTAAATTCAGTTTATGCAGTATTTAAAGCACAAGTCAAGCCATTCCAGGCAGTATAAGGCCCACAGACTTTAAAATAAATTTGTTGCATGACAGAAAGCCAGTGAAGGGGTTTCAGCAGTGGTGTGATATAGTGAGGCAGCAGCGTTTGGTGCGTGCATGAATCAGCAGCTCTGCACCCCGCTGAGGCAGGGCTCATCCTCACCACCCTGCTGAGGCAGGGCTCATCCTCACTGTGCTGGGCTGGAAATGGGATTTCCAAACAATGCTGGGCTCCAGAACCAAAGCCATGCTGAAGGATGGCTCAGCTCCTTGGTGATGAGGGAGGGAAAAAATCCTCGCCTGCCTCGTGCTTCACTTCAAAGCATTGCCCATCTGGTGAAGACCTTTTTATGGAAATGCACTGCTACCTGATATTTTATTCATTTAGTGGAGCTCCCCAGCTGTTTCTCAACAAATATACAATTATTATGTGATGCATTGTGTAGCGTGCAGAGGGAAGCAGTTCCATTGAGTTTTGTAAACCTGTTGTTTTCTTAGGGGTTAAAAGAGCCAAAGCTCCCTGAAGAGGGGATCCCTCTTCTCTCATCCACCTGAATACAGAGCACATCCTGAAACCTCTGCACCCTGCCAGGGAAGGGTGCTCAGCTCAACGTGCTGCACACCCACAGAAGGGACAGGATGGATCCTCTTCATCAGAAGACTGCAGAAAAAACTGGAGGAGGTGCAGCCTCATCCTTGAATTCCCTCTCTTCCCAAATATCTGAATCACAGGCTTTAACAGGCTTAGTTTGCTCCTCAGGCCACCCCTCTGGGGCCAATTTTGCCCCACACCCAAAGCCCTGTGAGCTCACCGTGGTTGCAGAGGCATCATGGACTGCAGTGCTCATTTGACAGACATGGGGCTGCTGAGATCCTTCAGTGCAGGAATTGATTAGGGCTGTTTGACTACCAA